AATCACTGCAACTGCAATTTTTACAATTATTGATGTTATAATATAATAACAATATTTTTTATTATAAGTAAATCCATTTAAATTCAATTTTATCACCATTATTATAATCTTGAACACATAATAAAAACAATTCATAGTAAGGCCAAGTAAATAAATTTATTCGTTTCTCATGATCAAGCGGATCATGTAAATAAATGTTACGAAAAGATAAAAAAATTTATTTTATTTGGTCATGTGATTTTGGGTTTAACCAATTATAATCATAAAAAAATAATTTTTTTTTCCACCCAGCCACTTGGGCAAAAAATTTATTAAATTAACCAATCATCTTCTAAGAATCGGTTAAATTTTTTTTGAAAATAAATTTTTTTTTCTGGGTGGCAGGATCAAATTTAGCAATTTTTTTTCATGAAAAATAAATAATTTTATTTCTTTAGCCTAATTGATAAGGCTTTTATAAATACATCCATTGTTAAGTAGTATGCTAGAATAGTGATCGCAAGAGTAATTAATTCATAGATTGATAGCATTACAAATTTCCACTAAACTTCCTATTAAAAAATAGAAATTGATGAAAAAACTTGTCAGTATAAGTTTGAAGTTTAAGTCTATTAATATCAATATATTAATAAAGCAGAAATAGCATACTGATTTTTTCTCTTATCTAAGATTGATTTTAAGAAATCAATTTTTAATGGATTTGTGTGGTAGCACATTCTCTGACTGGTAGTAAGAGGACCCCGAATAATACTAATATAACTCACAAGTAAACTTTAAATACCAAAGTAAAAATACATTTTATGACATAACTCTGTCAATATTGAAGCTAGGAATTCGATTTTACTATCATTAGAATCCTCTCATCGAGACGAATCTAATGATATAAATTTATTAAAATCAAATCACTGGTTATGTTAAAAACAGGGGTCTGTAGGATAACTAAATTTTGAAAATACCCCTGTATTAAATACGTAACTTTGAAAAATTTTAATATAAACTCTACACAACCTTTGTATCAGTATTGTTCGGGATCCTGTAGTAAGACTATCGAGTACTTTTTGGAGTCCAGGTAAAAGTAATGCTAAATAACAGTAAGGGTAGCTATTAATAAATTTGAAAAACTACTGAACATCTCTTATACAACTTAAAGATAACATATAGTAAAATGCATTTTTAGTAATAACTCAGTCAATATTGATACTAAAAATGCGATTTATTATCATTAGATTTGTCTTATCAAGATGAATCCAATAAGCCTAAATTTGTTAAAATCTAATCACCAGATCACTTAAAAATAAAGGTATGTATGATAAGAAAATTTGAAAATACTTAAAATACGCAATTCTAGCTGGAATTAATATATAAACTCTATGCAAATTCTAATGTGAGTTGTGTGAGAGATATTCAGGGTTTTCTTATATTACTGATATTTAGAGCAAGTATAGCAATAGGAGCAGGTATATTAACAGGAGCAACAGAAGTAGACAAATTACCAATATTTATTTTGGTTTTATTAACTTTATTTGAGAGAAATTAAAAATGATGTGTCAGTATTTCATCTTTTTATAAGTATATATTTTATATTACATGTAAAGTTGCTTGCCAAAAATAAATAGGCTATTGTCGAAATGGTAAAAATAATTTTGACATTTTGACATGATGAAATGATGAAATTATTTTATTATTAAAATTGACCAAAATGCAAATGACAAAATAGAAAAATAATTTTGACAATTTTGACATAACGAAATTCATTAATTTTAATAAGCATTATCACAATAATGACATTTATAAATAACTGTTATACAATATAATAAACTCAGTAGATCAATGAATTAATAATATTATAAAAATCATAATAAGGTCAAGAAATTGAATTTTTATTAACAAATTCCTTGATTTTTCGTATTTTTTTTGATCATTTCATATCTTGAGAAGAAAAATTCCATTATCTTGGCAAATGCATTTTTTTTGCCAATCACAATTAACAATATCTTTAATTTTTTAACATCTTCATATGAATGATAATGGCTTCTCATCAAAGAATATACATTTATTTTAAAATTTGCAAATTTTTTCTAAATTCTAACTCTTTTGTAAGATCATCTATAGTCCATTTTGATAAAGCAAGCTGAAACAAAAATAAAAATGCAATGCGAAATGTTATCAATTGGTATTTTGACTTTTGGAAAGCTTTATATTTGCGATATAAGGAGTTAAAATCCAGCTATGGTAAAGATAGAGCAAAAGTTCTCATTAAAAAAGAAGTTAAGAAACAAATTCCTGAAACAAAATTTTCTGATAAAGCTTTGCAAAAGAGAAGGAGAAGGCTGAGAAAGTTTATAAGTTTTTTAATAGTATCAGCAAAATTAAAATAAAACAAATTAGGTTTTTTTTCACGAGATTTATTTTAAATTTATCTAATAATAATGTCAACTATGTTATTGCTGAAATCTTAAGAGCAGAACAAAGAGATCCCAAAAAGACCAGATAAATATTACTGCATCACATTTAAAGTTGCCTGCCAAAACTCTACAGGTGCCAAAATAGTTTCGACATGTCAAAATTGTCAAAACTTAAAAATATTACATTTCACGTAATAACTCAGTATCCAATGATCGTAAAAAGATGCACCATAGCTTGTTGGAATCGTCTCATAACTATGAGTCGAATGGTGGTTAAATGACTTAGATTATCTTTCTACGATCACTGGATGCTGAGATATTGAGCGAAACATCAAAAATCAGCATTTTGTATTTTGCAATATTGCGCTGTTTAACATTTCACTTAATAACTCGGTATCCAACGATTGTAAAAAGATGCACCATAGCTCGTTGGAATCGTCTCGTAACGACGAGTCGGATGGTGGTTAAATCATCTTTTTACGATCAAACAGCGCAGTATTGCAAAATACAAAATGCCAATTTTTGACGTTTCGCTCAATAACTCAGCATCCAATGATCGTAGTAAGATGCACTATAGCTCGTTGGAATCTTCTCATAATGACAAGTTGAATGGTAGTTAGATCGTCTTTCTACAATCACTGGATGCTGAGATATTTGGTGAAATGTCAAAAATTAGCATTTTGTATTTTGCGATACTGCGCTGTTTGACGTTTCACCTATTATCTCGGCATTCAGCGATTGTAGAAAGATTATTTAACTACCATTTGACTCTTTATTACAAGATGATTCCAACGAGCTATGGTGCATCTTTCTACAATCGTTGGATGCTGAGTTATTAAGTGAAATGTTAAACGGCACAGTATTGCAAAATATAAAATGCCGATTTTTGACATTTCACTCAATATCTTGGCATCTAGTGATCATAAAAAGATGATCTAACCACCATTCAACTCGTCGTTATGAGACGATTCCAATGAGCTATGGTGCATCTTTCTACAATTATTGGATGCTGAGTTATTACGTGAAACATAATGTTTTTAGGTTTTAACAATTTCGACATGTCAAAACTATTTCAGCATTTTGACAAATCAGAGAGCCAATGTCAAAATGTCGAAATAGTTTCAACAATTTCAACATGCCAAAACTTCCTAATTTCGGCAGGCAACTTTAATCATATTACTACGAAATTAGTGGACATATGTACCCAGAATTTTCATTTTTATGTAGTTAAGTATAAATAATAATAAAAGTTTTACTTATATTGGATCTTTCTTCTTTTTTTTAATTCATGTATATCTGATGTTATTGTAGATTGTATAAATTTGAAACATGATATTCATTAGTATATATTATTAAATTAGGACCTGAATAATACTAATATAACTTATAAGTAAACTTTAAGTACCAAAGTAAAAATACATTTTATGATATAACTCTGTTAATATTAAAGCTAGAAATTTGATTTTACTACAGTATGGTACTTCTATAATAGGTACCCCTTATATCTTGTAATCTAATGATCAGAATTTTATAAAATTTTAAAATTAGATAGCTTTTAAAAAGATAAATACATTAAGTAAATAAAAAAATTTTCTCAATTTTTTTTACTGACATAATACAAAATCATATGATTTAAAATAAATTTAATTGGCTAATGCAATACTTAATGTTAATTAGAATTATACATAATTTTTTATATATAATTTATTATTCATTATAATTATTTAAAGTAATTTGATTAAATATATCATTAGGAACTTTTCTATAGGATTTATATTTTTTTTAGTAAGTTTTCCTGTAATTCCTTTTTGAGAAATAAACATAATATAATTTGTAATAAATAAAAACTACCAAAATTTTTTTTAAATTTTTTTTCAAAATTTTTTTAACAAAGCATAGGTAAGTTTATAAGCTAAAATAATTTATTTGAATAAGCACTATCAAATGATTGTTTTTTTTATGTTACACAAAAATCATTTATTCTCAAATTTTTCCCATCATAATAAATTACCCAAACTTCAAACTTATGTAACACTAGCAAAATTTATTATTTTTTAATCTAACCTGATAAGTTTAAAAGCTTTTGATATGCTTTATTAAAATTATCAGTTAGAATTTTAAAATATTATTTTTTGCTAATGTGACATCTTTTTGAAAATGGCACATTATGACTATAAAATTGGGTTACTGCACTGTATCATTAGAATCCTCTTACTCATCAGACGAATCTAATGATATAAATTTTATTAAAATTGAGTGTTAAAAATAAGGGTATGTAGGATAACAAAATTTTGAAATACCCCTGTAATACGTAACTTTTGAAAATTTTAACATAAACTCTATGTAAACTCAAATGTGAGTTGTATTAGTATTGTTCAGGGTCTTACTAAATTCTGCTAAAAATACTATAAACTAGTAAATCACTATAAATTGCTATAAATCGTTTAATATGTTAGGATCTCATATTACCAGCTAAAGGTACTCAGGGCAAGAGATTTCTAGTAAAATATTTATCTTGTTTCTGTATGCTAAACAAAATAATTTACTACCATCTATAAACTATCTTAATCAGCCAGTGTTAAAATTAGAAGATGGAATGGAAATCACAATTGTTTAAAAGGAATTTTCTGAGAATATTCTTAGTATTTTCTTGAAATCTAGGCTTCAGCAAATTTTTTGGCTAATTTTAGATGGAAAGTTTTGCTGGAAACAAATGGAATACCTAAATTTTCAGGAAAATATGGAATTTCTGGACTTCCTGGAATATTTTTTTTCTGGAAATTTTCCAAGACTATATACTTACCCTATTCAAATACATGGCTAGCCAACTGCATTTCAATGATCATTATAAGAGTTTGCTTGACCAATTACCCCATTCATGAAAAAAGATGTATTGTTACGCCTTACAAACCACAAAAATAAACCATTATCTGAGGAGCAGGTTAGGGTATCCATAGGAGTTGCTTACTAGGGAGGTTAATAGATACTTTAATAAAAAAATTGCCAGAAGATTAAGATTGAAGCAAATGTGATCCTCCTGGAGGGTTCTGCCACTTTATCCCGGCTGGATGGATTTGAGAAACAGTTAGAAGAACGTGAGCTTCGTATACAGCAATGGGAGAATAATATTAAGAAAACCATTGAGGCTCAGGTTGCTGAGGAACACAAATGTCTAAAAGATGAATATGATGCTCTTATGGCTCGCAAAGAGAGTGAATTTAATAATCGTATGGTAGATATGAAGCAGAAAATATATTCATTTAAGCATCAGCTAGAAGACCAGCATAAATCTCACTCTGCCAACTTGAAGAGGCAATACAAATCTCAGATTACAACTTTAGAAAAATCTATAGTCATAAAAGATAAGGAGATTGGCAAGTTGTCTGCTACTATCTCCCAACTTAAAAATGATAAGAAGGATATAAAAAAGTCAGTTGAGCGCAAGTATAAGTATTTGGAGGATGTTATCTTCGCTTACTATTTATATTGTGTGGTAAATTCCTCATAGAATAACGGTGACTTGTTTTGGAATAATCAAGCTTTTGATTATCATCTGAAAAAGTGCGGGTCATGACTCATGAGTCATGTAGGACGCGTCTGTATTACATCATATCTGGATTCACCCGCCGATCATATCATGAACATTCCAGAAGAAGTGAATACAGGCTCCTTGTGGCCAGACCATAGACCCTCAGAATTTTATTGACTAGCGGTACGAAGTGAAAATTGAAAATTGAATGTTTACATAATTATTTAATTATTTATAAACGTGTCATTTAATCCCGATTAATGATTAATCAGATTAATCAGTCAGCCATAAGCTACACAAGACACGTTTTAGATAATTTTCTTTTAATATTCACAAATTTTTATGTGCAAGATTTATTAACAACTATTTTTGTAATTCATAAATTAATTGGAAAATTTAAAGCTGCAAATAGTAACTGTATAATCTAATAGATGAGAATTTTAAAATATTATTTTATTTTAACTCTTAGTTCTCAAAGCGTTTTTTATTATTACCGTAATAGTAATTTTCACGCATGATTATTTAGACGATTTAACAATTTCTCTAGTTCTCTATGATAAATAAATAATATCGACATGTATTCATTTCTATAATAAATATAATATAATCTTGACCCATAATATCTTCATTCTTTAAAATGATCATTTTTTTCATTCCAATCCTTCGAGAGATCTTTCCTATGATGCTGATGATTATAATGTTATTATTCAAGTCGGGGAGAATAACAATGCAAAAGAATTTCGTGTACATTGATTAATTTTACAAAGGTGCTCTTTCATCTTGTTTATTAAATAAAACATAAATATTTGTTAAAGATTTTAAAAGCGCTATTTATAAAATGATAAGTTTTTAATGAAATATATTATATATACCGCACACTCGGCGCACAGTGCTGCATACAATACCCCCAGCAATAGTATTATATAGTAAGTGAGATAGTGTTAGAGTTTCAACCCGCGGATTGACGGATAGGCGCATTTTCAGCAATTATACACGGATTTAGTAATCAATGAAGGCAAGGATTTATTTTTTTGAGATATCCTTAGACTACTTACTATATCACTATATATATATACAGATACATTATATAGTCAAAATATAGAAAAGAGAGAAATTCGCAGATTGAAAATCCATCCGATGAATGAAAAATTCAACCCGAATCAAAATTTCTCTTTTTATTATAAACAAAATCCCTAAATTTAATATATTGTGTATTTGGATATAGTCTTATTCTATCTCAAAAAATCCTTTTCTTTATTGATTAAATTCTTATATAATTGCCGAAAATGTGTTTATCCGTCAATCTACCTATTGGAACTCTAGATACTGTATCGTCTTTTATAGCAGATTTTTAAAGATACCACATAGGTTACTAAATTCATTTCCATCTATAATAATGTCTTTATAATAAATGAATAATATTTTGTAATAAATTAATTTCATTATCATCTTTTTAATGATTGTAAGTGTTTCATTATTAACGGCATGAAATTTGACCAAATAGTACTACTTAAAATCATAATTCACACCCTTTAATAATTTACATAAATTATAAAATTATTTTGGCAACTACAATATTATTAATTCATTCATTTTTAAAATATTTTCAAACGTAATAAGATAATTATCTACCCGTCTATTGTATAGTACTGACCAATAGACTTCGGCGTACCCATTATAATATACCGGCATACCGTCATATGACATGTGGTTAAAAATCTTAAATTCTGGTAGAATTAGGCTAATTCTGGCCAATTTTGCTATTTTCTATACAAAATACTCGGGTATACTGTAATTCAATTATTAAATAGGCAATAGGTATATTGATTTATACCCGGGCATTTTAGTCAGTGCTAACGATATTTCAATAATTGTTTTATAAAAAATTCTTTTTAAGAAATTGTCATCGTGTTTAATATTTGTATTATCAAAATTGCAACATTGCAATTGTAATTGAAATTTAAATTTTATAATTTAAAATCCCTTTTTTTTACTAGTATATATTATAACGTCAGTATAATTAAATGTTGTTATTTGATCAAAATTTTAGTATTTTATTTAACTCATTAGTTGCATCTTTAATTCCCTTATCTAAGGCCTTATTGTACAAAATAATTGCTTCCTCAATATTTATGCTAGTTCCAATACCATAATGATAGCATTTTCCTAAATTATAATATCCTTTTGGATCTCCGTTATTTGATGCTTTTAAATACCATTCAAATGCTTTATTATAATTTTTATCTGTTCCAAATCCTTTCTCATAACAATAACCCAAAGCATTTTGACCTAAAGAACATCCATCATTAGCTGATCTGGAAAACCATTTAAATGCTTTTTCATAATTTTGAATGAATCCACAACCATAAAGATAACAACATCCTAAATTATTTTTTGCTATTGAATCACCTTTTCCAGCAGATTTTACATACCATTCAATTGCTTTTTTATAATCTTGACTTACTCCGTTACCATAATAATAACAACTTCCTAAACCGCGTTGACCAATAGCACATCCTTTTTCAGCCGATTTAGTATACCATTCAAATGCTTTTTTATAATCTTTATTAGTTCCGAATCCTTTCTCATAACAAAAGCCTAAATTATTTTGACCTTCAGCACATCCATTTTCAGCTGATTTAGAATACCATTCAAATGCTTTTTTATAATCTTTATTAGTTCCAAATCCTCTCTCATAACATAATCCTAAATTATTTTGTCCTGAACAAAATCCATTATTAGCTGATTTATAATACAATATAAATGCTTTATTATAATCCTTAGCTACTCCTTTACCATATTGATAGCAATAACCTAAATTATATTGAGCTATTGGATCACCTTTTCTAGCAAATTCCGAATATTCTAACTTACTCAAATTTATTTTATCTAAAATAATATCTTTATAATAAAACAATGATAATAAATATTTTCCAATATTAACATTAATATTTTGTAATATATTATCAAATTCTTCTTCTAACAAATGTAAGTTTATAATGATGGTTTCTTTATTATTATTATTATTATTATTATTACTAACAGCTAATAAATACAATTCTAATGCCTTATTTTTATCAATTATACAATCAATACCATATTGATAAAAAAATCCAATAATACTGGAAAACCATAATTTACTTTCTTTATGATTTTGCATTAACTCCAAAATTGTTTTGGTATCATCATTTTTATCAATCATATTATTTATCCATTTAATTAAAGTATTTTCAAATGTAATATTATAATCATCTATTTCAGTAATTTTTTGATAAAAATTTCTTAAAAATTTTTTTAAGAAATCATCATCGTCTTTGACATTTGTAATCGACATTTTTAATTTTTTGAAAGAGAATATATGAAACTTTCAAATAATTATGTATTTATATAGAAATCGAAATTGATGTTTAGGTACGTCATTTCATGTACAGTGTAGATCTTTTACAACTTTTACGACTAATATAATGATTCTGTGATGTAGCAAAATATTATTATAACATTGTAAATTAGGTTAAAATCAACTATAATTATTACTATTAAAAGTAAAATGCGTACCAAAAGCTGTTATTAATAACTTTTTATTTTAGGAATGTAAGGTGAATGAATATATATAATCATAAATCATAATCAAAATATAGTTAGAATGATAAAAAATATAAGGAATGAAAAATAATTTACCCATATCCAGTAGTTTATTATTAATATTATTTATATTTATTTTTTTTAAAAAAATATATATATATTATTAATGTTGAAGAATTATTGTAATGAACGTGGATTGCCCATTTTATCTTGGTATCTGGACTTTTCACCGAAGTCCGTTTCACCGAAGCAAATTTCGGTGAAGGGATGTTTCACCGAAGTGCCATTTCACCGAAGGGACATTTCGCCGAAGATATAAAATTTTCAATTTTCCTTTTCTTTTTATGAGACAACGGACAACCGAATTATTTATACATTACAAGTTGCATATTTTAATTACAGTAAAGGAAAATTAATTTTATTTGACAATTTCATCGTACTCAACAATTTCCAAGACATTTTTATTTTCTTTGTATTAATTAAGGAATGTCTTTCGATAAAATAAACGATTCGGGGAAAAGGATTCAGCGAAATGTCTATTCGACAAAACGCCCATTCGTCTGCGAAATGGGTTTCGGCAAAATAGACTTCGGTGAAACGTACCGTAACCTTTTATCTTTAAGTAAAACTTCCTAATACTTGTATTACTTGGTGTTTAAATAATTTTATTAACAGTTAAGAATATTAATTTGTTATATAATTATATGTAAAAATTTCTATTTCTTTTATTAAAAAATAAGAAAATTTTCAATTTAATACAGTAAATACAATTATAGTGCCTTATTTTTATCAATAATATAACCATAATGCCATATTACCATAAGTCACTTTATGATTTTGTATCAACTCTAAAATTATTTTGAATATTCTTTCTTTATCCATTCGAAGATAGTCAATAATTTTTTGATAAAATTTCTCTAAAAAATTGTTTAGGAAAACTTTAAGTTTTCAATACCATATTCACTTATTAGAGACCAGCTGCATATTGATATTAATTTATTTTACTTAACAAAATTTTATTCAACTCTTTATTTGCATTCTCAAATCCATTATCTAAAGCTTTTTTGTACCAAATAATTGCTTCTTTAACATTTATATTAGTTCCTACACCATAATGATAACATTTTCCCAATCTATATTGACTAGGATTAAATCCTTCATTAGCTGATTTAAAATACCATTCAAATGCTTTATTATAATTTACATCTGTTATAATTCCATGATAATAACAATTTCCTAAATTATATTGACCTTCAGCACACCCATCATTAGCTGATTCAGAATATAAATCAAATGCTTTATTAATATCTTTTGTTACTCCTATACCATATCTGTAACAAACACCCAAGTTATTTTTACCCAAAGCGCACCCATTATTAGCAGCTTTAAAAAACCATTCAACTGCTTTATCATAATCTTTTTTTACTCCTATACCATTTTTATAACAAAAACCTAAACTATTTTGACCTAAAGCGCATCCATTATTAGCAGATTTCAAATACAATTCAAATGCTTTATTATAATCTTTTGTTATTCCTCTTCCATAATAATAACAATTTCCTAAATTTTTTTGACCTTCAGCACATTCATAATTAGCAGATTTGGAATACCATTCAAATGCTTTATTATAATCTTTATTACAACCAAATCCTTTCTCATATAATTCTCCTAAATTATTTTGACCCAAAGCATAACCATTATTAGCTGATTTAGAATACCATAATAATGCTTTATTATAATCTTTAATAACTCCATTACCATGTTGATAACAAGAACCTAAATTATATTGAGCTATTGGATCACCTTTTCTAGCAGATTCCGAACATTCTAATTTATTCAAATTAATTTTATCTAAAATAATATCTTTATAATAAAACATTGATAATAAATATTTTCCAATATTAACATTAATATTTTGTAATATATTATCATCAAATTCGTCTTCTAATGAACATAAATTTGTAAAATTTTGATATATGATATTATTCTCTTTATTATTAATAGCTAATAAATAAAATTCTAATGCCTTATTTTTATCAATAATACAACCAATTCCATATTGATAAAAAAATCCAATAATACTAGAAAACCATAATTTACTTTCTTTATGATTTTGCATCAATTTTAAAATTAAGTTAGTATTCTTATCAATATTCTTTATCCATTCGATTAAAATATTTTCAAATGTAAAAGGATAATTATTTGTGTCAATGATTTTTTGATAAAAATCTTTTAAAAAATCTTTTAAAGAAATTATCGTCATTTTTGATATTTGTAGTTGACATTGGAAAAATAAAATATGAAATTTTGTTTCAAATATTTAACAACCGGAATATTTAATATAAAAGTATACCGTACACTTTTTCACGTGCGTATGTTGTACGGTATATTTTACTCATGTGACTTCAGCATTATTCAATTATGTCCAGCATTAAATTATGGTGTAGTTAGCCGAAAAATAATTAGCCGCAACGTGATCCGGACCCGGCTCAAGCGTAGATCGTCGTGGAATTCCAGGGGATTTTCTGTGATTAAACCGGGTCCGGATGATCGGCAATCAGAAATTCGGCTCCGTTTTTCGGCTAGCTACACCATTATCAGCATTAAGACAGTGTTAATATTCCGCAGATCTGCGATTACACAATAATAATCGTTAAGTGAAATCGACAAAATCAATATGTAATAAAAAGATAAAAATTCAAAATTGATTTTTATTTAAATAAATAATAATAAGTTGAATTATAATAATATACGAGATAAATAAAATAAAAAATAAGGTAATTTTTTCTAATTTACTATACAAATATTTTTTTTTTTTAGTTGTGACAGACAATCAAGATGCATGATAGAGGGTCACAGTCATCAATAATTTGAAATTTTTTTTTGAGTATCCTGCTCAATCTTTAATTATTTACGACCACCTCCTGGCTTGTTCGCAGTTCGACCGCCTCCACAACCTCTTCGACAACGTTTGACCAATCTTAATTATATAAAAAAAAAATTATTTTATTAGAAAACTAAAATTCAGAAATTTATTATTAATTAATTTTTAAAATGTGACTTACTTTCTGGATGAATCATTTCGTTTAATAATTTCATTATTTGAATTTAACGAATTAATTTGTGAACTATTTACCATGGAAATTAAACATAAGGATAGGAATAAAGCGATGAAAGTAAAAGTAGATAATTTCATTGTTTATTATTATGAGGATTTAATAAAATAATATTTTATTTTTTTTTCTAATCAAGAGTGAAAGGAATAGAAGGAATATTTATATCAATTGGAAAACCTGTAAAAAAATTTTTGATGATAAGGATCCATTCACATCTTTTATTTATTGTAATACACAAATTCTTTGTTTCGCTGTATTATAAATATGTCATAAAGGTTCACTACATTTTTATTTATTTAAAAAAGGTTTTAGTTCAAATCTAAGAATCATGAGTACTCTTATAAAATAAGGTTTATTCGTTTGATATGGCGAAATCAGGTCGTACCAATAGCGATTAAATAATTTAAAATAATTTATATATCAAATAATATTTCACATATTTCATACCATTGTTTATCATCAAACTCGATTATTTACGCGTTTTTTAAGTATTACCATAAACATTCTATATGACTAGACTATTTCCAAAATGGTATAGTCAAACCTATAAATAAAAAAATTATACTATTAAAAATTTCTAAACTTAGTATTGGTCGCTGTTGATCAACATTTTTCTTCCCGAGATAAATATAAAAAAAGTAAGTGTAAAAATTCTAAATCGACAAATTTGTAATTATCTTTTAAGATAGATAAAATAAACTTAGCTTTTATGCAAAAATTACGAAAATCATGTAGGAAAAAAAAAATGCCGAGCCCGTAACTTCCCGAAGTTTGTCTTTCAAAAATGTGTTTTGTAGATTTTCTATATATTTATTCTTTAATTTTTTTTTTCTTTCCTTATGTTTCAATTCAGCCTTTTACTTGTTTAAATTTGGACTCATTATGATTTATGATTTCCTTTAAAATCATTTATAAAATATTGGGAAATAATTGACGAATACAAGATAATACCCGGATGTATTCCGGGTACTTTCTGTATTTTCTGGACAACACCCGAAAAAAAAAAATTTTTTTTACGGGGCTTCATTTTCTACAAAAAAATCTCCATTAGGCGATTCATAATTACTATCATTCAACAAATGCGGGCACAGTGCAAGCAGTTGTGAAATAAGCGATATACAGTACATAATTCGGACCAACGAACATTTCTATTTATTTAAGCTTTCGGTCGGCAAAAAAATTGCTATATTAAGCAAATTATAATAAAGGTTGGTGAAATGTTGCAAATCAATGAATAATCATGTGGTTAGTTACTCAAGGTTTCAATTAAATATATTTATTATATTCAAAATTACCTCACTTGGTTGTTAGAGGTCCCTGAATTTTTGTGCGGGTGTGCTCTAATGAATTAATTTGACATCATATATCGTAATGAATGATGTCATTGATGTAACAATTTTTTTCTGTAATACTTTATCTTAATCTATAAAACGCACGCGATTGTATACAAGTCAGTTTGTCTTTCAACGTAAAAAATTCTATTAAATTGTGGATGTACCCTCCTACCTAGGAAAATTGGTTAGACAATAATTTTATATACATTTGACGCACCTCTTTACCTGGAAGAATTGGTTAGACTTATTGAAGTTATTCCAAAAATGCGCTCATGTGATTTAATGCGTTTATATGTTCACAAGGATTATTTGAGTATAATGTTATGCCATTTGGATTAATGAATGCACAAAGAACATTTCCAATAAGAAAATTTTACAATTGTGCCACATAGGTTTTTTTTTAGGAATGCTGCTTCCTTTTAGTTGACTTAAGACGAAATCGGAAGATACTGAGGTTGATATACAGTAAATAAATACTCACAAACTTGAAAACGACGAACGTAAAATTAACGAATTGTCCATGAAAAAAATTTCACTATGCAGACGTCAAACTATTAAGAAGATCCCTAGCGACATTATTAAAGACATTAAATGAATTGATTTTATTTCACAGTCAAGTTGATAACTATTATAAAAGACTTCAGCTGTATTAACATATAGAGAGTAAACGAGTGTTCATACTGAAAAAAATCCATATCTACAAGTAATAATATGGCATAGTAACAGAAACAGAAAACGTAAAGTAACTAATTAATAACGCTATCATTATTATACTCATTCATAATTTATATTATCGTTTACCCATTCAGTCTAACCAATTTTTTATTGTGATATATTAGAACCCTGATCCTCAGTTTCATCAAAGGTTTCCCTTTTTTTTGTACATGTTGTGTGTTAATAGAGTTTCAATAAATTTATTCCGAACTTGCTTCTTTGGTACTAACTGAGGGAAATCGATTCCGTTTTGAGTTAGTAATCTTTATTTCACTCAAGAATATGTATGATATATCTTGTTATTTTTTTCTTTACTAACTCACTCCTACACGTTCTTTTACCTTTGAATTCTTGTAATTCACGATCGCGCCGCACTCACAATCATTTAGGTCAATAAATATGCAATATTCTACGTCGAAAGAAAGAATTTTGATGAGAAGAAATACGAAAGAAGACACAGAGAAATTAATTTCTCAAATAAAATTAGGAGATTGATATTAATATGGACACAAAAGATTTATACTGAAGCATCTAATTATTTGATGTATGAATCATTTTTTGGATATATAAAACCTATTTTTATCTTAAAGACTGTTAATATATTCTCATTTGGTTACTTAATTATTACAAATCCTATTAAATTATTGACCTAGATTTCCTTTTTTTTTTTTAAGGAGAGAAGTGTAGAGGTTGAGTTAATATAGAAATTCAAGGAATTTAATTGTTGAAATTCTTAGTAAAAAAATGTCATGGGAATCTATGGGCGGTTTTATTTATAGAAAATACACTAACCAAATTAAGGAAACAATATTATTAATATTATTAATATACAATATAAATTAATATAAATGATATAAATGAAATATAACAACGAGTGTAGATCCTGTAATTATTTTTTTGAACTATAAGTACTCAAGTGGCTTGGAGGGGGGGAGGAGTGGGCTTTGAAACATTTTTTTTGTAAAAATGCAATATTCTCTTTCAAATTTTTTAGAAGAAAAAGTTATTCAAACGATTAATAATAATAATTCCAAAAGTAATGAAATTATCTTAAAAAATTTTTCATTAGATTTTTATCGAAAAATTCTTGACGCAACAACAAATGATCTTAATACATTTGAAAAAACTTTAATCGAATGGATAAAAAATTTTGATAATAACGAAAAGATTTTGAAATTAATGCAAAATCATAAAGAAAATGATTATTTATTTTCTAGTATTATCGGATTTTTTTATCAACATAATATAAGTTGTGATATTAATGATAAAAATAAGGCATTGGAATTATATTTATTGGCTGCTAATAATAAAGTACCTTTAAATCAAGATTTTACAAATTTATTTGAAGATAATAATGAAGATTTTAAAATATTGAAAAATATTAATTCTATTATTGGAAAATATTTATTATCATTATTTTATTATAAGGATATCATTTTATATAAAGAAAAATTAGATAAATACTTAAAATTTGCTAAAAAAGGTGATCCAATGGCTCAATATAATTTAGGTTATTGTTATCAACATGGTAGAGGAGTAATTAAAGATTATAATAAAGCATTTGAATGGTATTCAAAATCAGCAAATAATGGATATGCTTTAGGACAAAATAATTTGGGTCTCTGTTATAGAAATGGATTTGGAACTGATAAAGATTATAAAAAAGCATTTGAATGGTATACAAAATCAGCAAATAATGGATGTGCTGAAGGTCAAAATAATTTAGGTTTTTGTTATGAGAAAGGATTTGGAACTGATAAAAATTATGATAAAGCATTTGAATGGTATACAAAATCTGCTGAAAATGGGTGTGCTATTGGTCAACGTGGTTTAGGAAGTTGTTATTATTATGGTAATGGAGTAAGCCAAGATTATAAAAAAGCCATTGATTGGTATTTAAAATCTGCTGAAAAAGGTGATTCAATAGCAAAAAATAATTTAGGTTGTTGTTATCTTTTTGGTCAAGGTGTTACTCAAAGTTATAAAAAAGCATTTCAATGGTATTCCAAATCAGCTAATGATGGTTGTGCTTTGGGTCAACATGCTTTGGGTTTTTGTCATGAGAAAGGTTTTGGTGTAGATAAAGATTATAATAAAGCATTTGAGTGGTATTTAAAAGCATCAAATAGTGGAAATCCAAAAGGACATTATAATTTAGGAAAATGTTATCATTATGGTATAGGAACTAGTGTAAATAATAAAGAAGCGATCATTTGTTATAGAAAAGCATTAGATAATGGAATAGATCATGCCAGTATCGAGTTAAATAAAATTTCATCAAGCAATTATAATTAGCATATTTAGCATATTTGTGTTTGTAGTAATGTACTCAATAATTATTCATTATTATAAATTATGATTGTCAAAAATTATTATATTAATTTCTATTATTTCTTTTTCAGAGGCCAGTTTATATATTTGTCTGACGCTCCTATTAAAATTTGATTAAAGAATCGGTTAAATACTAGATATTAATAAAATTTTTTAAACACGTCAAATTTCAATGCGTATAATGCATATATATAAATAATTCCAATTAAAATATACTCTATACTATTTTTTTTTTTTATCTAATTTCCTTAATTAATAAAACTTTAAGATCAAATATAATTGATCCTTAATGCTGCGGCACGAGATTACGCGTCATCAAATAAGTTGTAAGGACGATCATTTTCCATACGTATATAAATGCAAAAAAAATTTTTTTTTTTTTTCATCCGTCTTCGATTTTTATTAAATAATTCAAGAAAAAAAAAGCTATTGGAGTACTATACAAAATGTATTTTATAAGGAATTAAATGGTTTTATTTGAGTATTGAAACTGTGTAATGGCGCAAAAGGTTCGATTTAATTCTTTTTTTTTTCGTTAATTACAATAACTGCTTCTATTATTCTCTTCATTGAAGCTGATTATGCAAATCAAATTTATAGGTAAATTCTTCTTGGAATTTATTATTTTATAAAATGTAAACAATATGATGTTAATTAACAAAAGATGGGAATCTCTCTGAGAAAAATTCGTCATTGAAGAAAATTTTTGTTCCTGATATGTTCAACTTCTATTTATAATCAAACAACTTCATATCAAGGAAATTCACTAAAATGCTCGTTTTTGTTTATTTTTAAATTGGTAGCGGATAATCAGCAAATGTAATGAATTATGATCGAAACGTGAGAGAGAGAAAATCGCTTCAATAATGAAAATGTGGAATATTTTAAAATCATTCATGGTAACCATTTTATTTATTCTGTTTTTGAGTAAAAGAAAAAATAATTTAATGATTAATAATTCTTGTACGTTACATTTAGGATTTTTGACGAGCAGAACCAAATAACAACATATATCGAGAAGCGATTTTTTTATGAAATTTAGCGTAGAAGATTACGTTCTTTCTTACTTGGTAAGGGACAATTATTTTTTATTAATATTCTTTCCTTCTCGATGATGAACAAAATTTTATTCAAGCTCAACAATCAGAAATTATTCATGTTGACTACTACTACTTCTTATACTTCTGATGGTTTTAACTATTTATTTAATTTATTTTATTTTTATTTATTTTTTTTTTTTTTAATTAATTTTGTTTTTTTTTTTATACATTTTATACAGTAATTTTATGATTTTGGAGGCTTTAATATGCTATTCTGCTTTAAAGTAAATTTTTTTTATAATCAGCTTTGATTATTTATTTTTTTTTTATTATTAATCTTGTATTTTAAAAAAAAATGGCATATAACATTGAAATTAATAAAAATAATTATATTTTTGAGTTTAATGATGATATTTTTTTTAATAATAACTCCAAATTTTCATTTTCATTTTCATTTTTATAAGGACGTTAGCTTTTCCTTAAAGTAATAGATGGAATAGATGGTTAGGAGATACTACTCAACGAGAGAAGTTGTTCTTGATCTCATTAAATTTCTTAATTTGTTCACACATTTTTATAGAGATAGAATAAAAATTTTAATAAATATATTTATTTATATTATTTTATTTTTTTTTTAATAATGATAATAAATAAATATTTAAAATAAATTATTTATTTTTAACTACTCTGAATACTTCAAAATCCTCCATATTGAAAGTAGTTGTATCAAGAATTCTTTTTTCATAATATGATTTATTACAAGCTCCAACAAAAAATGCTAAATCATCATTACCAAAACTAACGCCATTGTTACTTAAATCTTTAATCGCATATGATGAGTATGCTTGTTGTACTCGACTCAATATATAAGAATTTTTTTTCATATTAAGAGAGAATATAAAAGATTCTGGAGTAGCTTGCCAATGATTTAACAACCTCCATGATAATGGATTATACCCTCCAATAATTTGATCTGATCCTCTTAATTTAATTATAATCAAAGTTGGACCTTTATTACCACATAAATTACGAAACGTTTTCATATCCATTCCATCACGACTACCACAAAGTAAAAGTTGAAATTCATAAGAAACACCTAATTTACGTTCATATGCATCATCATTACGATCTATCCAATTTGCTAAGAGATCTGCTTGTTGAAATTTAATAATAATAGAATTATCCAATTTTTGACTTCTTTTTGATAACGCATCTGTTGGTAAATTACTATCTTTTACAATATGAAATTTAATAAGTTGATTAATAAGATCTTTTGAAAGAATTTTTTTTATTGGCCAAATCTTTTCATGAAAATCATTCCCAGTTATATGAAAAATTCGAATATGTGGTAATATTTCATCCAATCTATTTTTCAATTCATTTAAATCTTTACGAGTTAATTCTAATAAATTTGAATTTATTTGAGGTTCTTGTGAAATACCCCATTTAATTATATTGTTCCAAATTTCAATTTCTTCTAATTCAAGTTCATCCCTTTTAATAATTGAAATTAATGTAGATTTATCCATTGAAATAAAATCTTGAGATTCAAAAAATAATTCAGGTCTTCCACAAATTAATTCTTCACAATATTCCCTAAAAATTTTAAATCCATCATAAGTTGTCGCAGTCTTATAAACTTGTATAAGATTTTGATGAACCCAATTAAACTTATTATTAATAATGTATGATTGAACATTTTCAACTAAATCCGTGAGCGCTAATTCATCAGCTGCGATAAGTAATTCAAGAATTAATTCTTGATTATTTTCTTCTTCAATTGAATACGTTCCAGTATAAAAATATCTATATAATATATATATATATATATATATATAAAATATATTTAATAAAATTATTATACAAAATTAATATTATTGATTAAAAATTATAACTTACTTTAAAAGAATTTTAAAAACTTTTGGTTTAATATTCGGTTTATTGAAAATAATAATATTATCTTTTCTCTTAATCCAATCCTTAAATAATGCAGCACGAAAATAATTTGATCTTGCACGTAAAATAACTGAATGAGCTTTAAAAATTTCTACATCATCACCTTCACCCACGGTAATATTAACATCAAAATCATCCGAATTCTCGTAAAGTTGAGAAATATCTTTTAATAATACATTGATTAAATCACTCATCATTATTTTCCTTTTTTCTTTCAACGAAGAAAAACTTTTTAAAAGAAAAGATATTTATTTATTATTAAATGTATTTTAATAATATATGAAGTACAACGTACCTTAGAATTGAATGGAGAAACAAAGACTTCTTTGTAAGTTCATTGTATACGCCATATGACAAATTAGGTCCTGATAAATTTTTTGCGTCACAAATAGATTATCATCTTTTCTAATGAATTTAATGAGTTTATTTGATTACTAAATATGTTTCTTACTCAAAAAATCAATGATAAAAAAATCCTTGTACACAGAAAAAAATTTTTTTTTACGTTAGATAAGAATGGCAACATTTTTCCTTTTATAAATATATATAAAGAATTGCCATTTTCTTATTTGTATCACATATTATGCGGTGCGGTCACATGAAACTGATGAAAGAAATTAAAAAAAAAAGATATAAGCGTATCCATTCAATAAATAAAATGTCCTCCATATGCCGCAATGCGCCGATGCGCCATATTCTATTTGAAACATTCACTGCCTGCTTTTTCACAAGGGTTAAAAATTAAAAAGATGTATTTTTTATGTAATTTTATTTAACAAGAAATCTAATCCATCCTTATGTTTATTCTAATTGCATTTATTTATTGTGATTTAGATTATCAGATGAATGATATCAGCGGTTCTTGACGGGAAAATTTTATTGCTATTAATTTAGTATGCGTATAATTGTTTACTTTTTACAGTAAATTTATTTCCTATTATGATTGTTATTGAGAAATATAATTACTCATATGATAAAAAATATTTGTGCGAAAAAAAAATATTTCTCGTGCGAAAATAAAATTACTCATGATATATAACACAAAAGTATCCGACCACCCTAAAAAGCATGAAGCATTAAAAACTATTTAGAAGTGATTTTTTACTTTAAATAGTAATACAATTCTGTATAAACATTTAATTTAAAAAATGTGAAAATTTTTATCTTTTTAACTAGAAGTTTTACAAGTAAAATAAACCAAAATTAGATTCTTAGTTGTTGAGAAACATGCCTCTGATTAAAATTCAGTGTATAAAATTTGCGATCTCTCAACTTTTGCTGAATTTTTAACATTTATTCCGTTCTGGTTAAAAAGTCAAAATTTTTTTCATCATAAAAATTAAATATTTTTGCAGTATTTTACTATCAATTAAGTGAAAAATCACTTCTAAATAGTTTTTTACTACTCAAATTTTAGAATTGAAATTTTATCAAAACCTCCATTTTTTTAAAAGTTTTAGGGTGGTCGGATACTTTTGGCCGGGGAGTGTACATGTATATATAATACAAATACATCTCGAAAAAAAAGTCTCCATTTTGTTTGCTATTATTTTCTTTTTTTAAACCTTTTCAGGCATATTTACTTTGCTTTTCCTAAATATATTGCCCACAGAAAATATATTACCCATATATTATTACCCACAGAAAAATCATATTATAGAAAAATATGAGCAAGAAAATTTCTTTCTCTCTCCTTTGGAACCAGTACTTTTTTCTATCACCAGTGATCCTTGAATGTGTATCATTGAATACATTAAAGCTGGGAAAGAAAGGTGAACCTCTGTGGCTTTGACAATGACTATCTTTTTGTCATGACTTAGTCAGTTATCCGATAAGGAAACCAAATGATGTGAATCATATGTAAATATCAGGAAAATATTTCCTGAAAAATTTTTTTCATGAAATTTTCCGCAGTAAAATTTTCTTTATTGAAATAAATTTTTAAGATACAAACTTCATATAAATAAAGCTAATACATCTTCAAAGAAATGAAAGTTCATGCTTTTTTAGAGAGTTTTCATAATATTCTACCTGAAACCATACAACCAACATACTAAAGTAGTTAATGATGGCACAAGTAAATTGGAGGATAATACTCACGCTCGTTCAAATTCTAATGCCCAAGAACGGTCCATGAGCTCAGCACGTCGATGATCCAAATACATTATTAATACGAAAAAAGAATACGATTATTCTTTTACGTAATCGTATGATTCCCAAATACAGTAATTTCTGATATTCCATAAATCAAGAGAACCAATTATTTACAAATATCCCAGAAAAAATACACTTAATAATCAAATGAGATCCCCTGCAGCAAAAAGATCCAAAAAGAAAAAATTGAATACAGGTCTTGCTTGTGTTGGAAAAATCTTGTTGTATGATGTACATGCCTCATGGAAGCTAAAGAAAATTTTCAATTAATGAATGTTAAGATACAGATGAAATATTACGTTATGCATATCAAAATTGAATTATCTCTTTTTGTCTGATTCAATTCCAAGGAATGATTGGACGGATAATAGTATCCCTACACAATGGTTCCTGCAAGTTGGACGATACGAGGAAAAAAAAAAGATCATTTATAAACAGATATTAATATGTTTCCCCTAACCATGCAAAGATTCATCAGAGTCTTCTTTAAGAAAGAGGATATGTAAGGAATCTGCATGATCAGAGTAGGTATCAAGGAATTACCAATAATTACTAGAAGAGTGGAGACTCCTCAAATAGCGGAAAATTGGTCAAGAGTAGAAACAAAAAAGATCATGTTACTTTGTAATTAGTTGTTAGGCCGTCCTTTCCCTTTTTTCATATTTATTCAGTATATTTAATTTCATTTTCTCTTTTCTTTTTCAAAAGGATTTGTATTTTTGCTAATTCTATTTTGTGTAGATGTTTTACAGGTTTAGTTGGTAGAATTTGTGTTTACCAACTTGGTTTAGATTTTTCTCCGTTTGATTCTTTGACAAGAGGGTGAGCCTATAGCTTAATGCTAAAAACAGCAGAGCAATTTTTCTGTTGGTTTTGAACTATGGTGGGATCTCAAATGTATTTTAGGTTAGATACTAAATTTCTTATGTGGTTATATAAAGCTTTGACATCATCTTAAAAATATAAATAAAAAAATAAAATATGAAATCAATATTAGTACAAAAGGTAGTATTCCTTTTGAAATGACTGATTTATTTAATTAACAAATGCGTAAAATTTTCATTAAACAATATTTGGAATAGTTTAATTTTTTGTATCTGTACCGACTATACCTCATCATGGCGGATTTATGAAATACTCAAAATTTGTCCGTCATGTCAAATTAAATAAATATTTGGCAGTATTTATTTAGTCCCAAATTTATTAGTGAACAGTCAAAAATGGGCTCTAAAAAATTTTTTTGTACCCCAAATCTTGCGTTAAACCAATTAATAATATCTTATCTGTTATAGTATTGTTTGTTTAAAAATTTTTACCTAATTAGCCAAGAAAACTCTTTCTAGCTTAAAAGAAGGTGAATTGACGAAAAACCCAAAAGAAATCGTCGGCAAAGTATGTTAGATGAAGTATTGTAATTTCAGTTCAAGTATCACTACATTTGGGTAAAGAATATCTACAGATTATTATACGGAGATACGGCTCACAAAGGGAAAAACACTTCTGTGATAAATGCACACAAACATTTCCTTGCAAGGAAAGACTTGAAACCCATCGGAGTTGGTGTTACAGGATGGACAATACACCGCAAAAAGTTACACTTCCAAAGACTAAAGGCTAATGGAGTACGCCCCTTGTGTAATTAAAGTAGATTTTGAGTCCAAACATAAAAAAACTGATGAGAAGTATGGAGGGTCTATGTGAAAAATTTCAGAACAAAAAGCAATGAGTTATACAATTCATTGGATGGATACGGGAAAAATCTGGGGCCATGGACCTAATGCTACAGAGGAATTCGTAAAAAGAATGGATATAGAAGTAAACGAATTAACAAAATATTTGCAAATTCTGTTATGGCAAATAAAACTAGAAATGATGATCTCAACAAATTCAATAATGCAAAGGATATAAAAGACCGACAAATAAAACCATGGAGAACACCTATACAGTAGTTATACATAATTTCCGAGGCTATGATTCGTACTCAGTCAATCAGCCTTCGCACAGTCATTGCAGAAACTTTTGAACGATACAAGTCAATGAGAGTTGGCCAGTTAAAATACATTGACTCATTTCAGTTTATGAATCATGGCTTAGCCACTTTAGGAGAGAATATAGGTGCATGCAGTAAAAAATTAACGGCAATCACTATTTTTGAATAGATAAAAATCGGTGTATGGGCTATCTAGAAAAATATAAAATAACAATGAAGCACTACATGGATAAAGGAATTCCGATAGAAATGATTGTTTTACTTCTCAGAAAAGGTATTTCCCATATGAGTATATCGATTCACACGAAAAATTCAAAGAAACGTCAATACCACCAATCGAAAAATTTCTTGGAGTTCTTAAAAGAAAGATAACACAGAAAGACTATAAACATGCAGAAAAAGTATTGAATGAATTCAAATGCAAAAATCTGGAGGAGTACCATGATTTGTATTTAAAACCGATGTGCTCTTGCTTGGAATTAGATCCAAGCCATTACGTATCTGCAGCATCCCTAAACTGGGATGCGATGTTAAAATACACAGAAGTGAAAATCGAACTTTTACAGATATGGAGATGCATGACTTTGCAGAAAAAGCGAGACGTGGTGGAATTACAATGGCATGTAGGCGTTACTTTAGGGCCAATAACCCAAAATGCAAAAACTTTTACATGCGCAGTCCAAAAACATGGCTGTCATACGTTGATGCAAATAATCTTTATGGATGGGCAATGAGTCAATATCTGCCAATCGGAGGTAATATAGTAATGAGTTTCTTAAAGATCCAGGGAATAACAAAAAAGTGCTCGATACTATCCTAAAGAAACGGAATGATGCATCACGAGGTTATTATGTGCAACTTGAATGCCATTTCCCCTCACAAACGCATAACTATTTGCAGGATCTACCTCCAACGGTTGAAAATATTAAGGTAAAACGTGAACAATTTAGTCCGAAGCAGGAGATATACTTAGAAAGGATGGGGAAAAAAATTATGTATCTGTAGAAAAGTTAATAACGCATCTTGGACCTAGAGATGAATATGTCCTCCATTATAGCGAACTATAATATTATGTAAAACTTGGAATGGTAGGTAGTAGACGAAGTACGGAAAGTCCTCTCATTCGATTCCCTGGTTAGAACCAGCCGTATCATTCATGGATTATTTATATAGGCAATAAGGTGTATTTATTTTTATTACAAAAAATTTAAATGATAAGTATACAATGCAGGTATTGTATAACGTGATTGAGATAGAAAATAACAGTTTAATTTCAAAAGGTATTATTATATGGAAAGATATTGAGAAAGCGCAAATAAAAATAATAGACAGTGCACTCCGTGCTCGTTAAAAGAATATGTTGGCTATGTGAAGAAATTGCGAAAAGAAACGAATACATAAGAACTATCGCCATAATGTTATTTCCGAATGAGGACTCATACAGAAAACGAATAATCAGATACAGAGAATGGTATGTGAATAAAATAGAACTTCTTGAAAACGTTGAAAACTTATACAATCTCTACTATGAATTGTCTAAAGAAGAGCAGATTACTGAAGAAGATATTGGCAATATTAGAGTATTAGAGATAATCTTCTTAGTGACATGTTGACTGAGATAAAATTTCATATCAAGGTGAAATAAATGTTCCGTCCAATTTACAGTAAAACATTATTTTTTATTCATTTTATCTATAGACCGGTTCGAAAGATTTATACAATGGTATTTGTAAAAACACTAGTAGAGGGGAAATATGTAGTCGCTGCACTTGTTGATACAGCTTCCCACTTTATATTATAAACAAGGAATTGTTTGACAAACTGAAAACAAATCACGGGAGAAGACGTGTATCTATGCTTATTAAAAGATATAACAAAGACGCAATCGGAGAAGAAAAATATTGTAGATTATTATCGTTAAATCATAAATCATCCAAATACCCATTAGTTTTAGGTCAATCGTGGTTGACAGTCCACGAAGCAATCATTAATCTATGTCGTAGCGAAATTTCATTGTATGGAATGAGCATTCCGTTTATAGATGAGGAAGAACTTTATTCTGATAAGGATCTTTATTATGAATTTCGGGAGTTGCTTACTAAAAAGTATTTCAGAGGAGGAAATGATCATAAGCTGCACGATAGTTTATCCGAATCTTCCGAATCTTCTGTTTCTTCCGTTTCTTCTGTTATTTGTGATATTCCAAGAAAAAACAAGTGAATAACGCAAAGAATAAACGGAGAATAAAGAATAAATCTTGAAGGGCACATGACACTCTTAACAATTGTTTGTAGTGTCATACTTGAAGAGTAGCCAATGGCTATGATTTCCGGGGACCGCACGGTCTCGGAAATTTCGATGTTAGTAAATAAATGATCACACGGCAGGGTCTGTGCAACAGCTGAATTTTTCACATATACCCTCACTTGGTATTTTTTATTCTTGTCCTCATGTACGTCAGTTTGCACCAATAAAATTTCACAAAAAATAGTATAAAACTCGAAAATGGCTACGTTTCCCGTCACGACGTCACGTTACTCTGTCTCGTCAAAGGAAATACACTCGTAAACGCTTTCCCTGTTCATATAGATAAAAATAGTCTATTGGTGACCTCAAGGAAGCTGCTATGAAGGCAAAAAAGGCACCAGAGTTCGACAATTTTCCTGCAGACAGTCTCAAGCTATGGAAGGTGGCGATCACGTCGATCCCTTGAGTAATATCTCACTCGAGGAGAATGAAGAGCTGTCGGCAATAAATGATATTTGAGACTACTTGTCTGAGAAACCGCCTAAGAAGAATATTCATGTCATAGTCCATCCTTGTCGACTGCTGCTTCGAGCCGTGAACAGGAATTGCTTGACCAACTCGCTTCGTTGCAGGCATTGCTTAACAAGTCTGTCCATGGTACGTATTTTTTCCTTGCCTGAGGTAAACGAAATTCAGGTTATGGTTTTTCACTGACCCGGTTGTTGCTTTACAGCATTCGACGTTGTCGTTAGCCCGAAACGAACGAGGAGCTTCAAGTGGAGTGGACAGTGAATATCGAACACGCGACCCTCGATGGCCTCAAAAGAACACATACGTGGAGTGCACAAGACACCAGCACTTGAAAACGATGGACCGAAACTTGTCATGTTAAATGACAGTGGAAAATTCTCTCCTCGAAACGATCAGGGCCTTCGTGAGATGCTTCACATATTTGTATCAAAGAACAATCTCAAGTTTACCATGTTATTGAACGCCCTCAAAACCATTTTCAGACTGGTCGTTCCGAAGGTGTGTCAGCTTTATGATCTTGGCGAATCAGACGATCCCTCATTATCAGTGTTCCCGCCTTTCGCTTGCTAGTATAAAGAACTGAAAGAGGATTCTTCCAAGGTAATACTTAACAATCTTTGTAACTGAACTGAAGGCCCGTCTTAAGTCCATTCCAATTAGCGGGAACGAAGCATCGAAATCACAATATGTCTGCTCCTATCGATTTCGCAATAGACTTACTCCAAACCGCAAAAACTGTCGGTGTGACAGAGGTAAAGGACGAAGATCTTTTTAAGGGTATTGCTCAGAATGCCGTTCAACTCGAATCCGCTTTATCAAACCGTAAAAGGTACTTTATGGAATGCTCGCTTGACGACCAAGATAGACTAAAATTCAAACTATCCGAACCGGGGGTCGTTGTATACAAAGACGAGAGTATGGTAAATATGGTTAAGTTCTCGGTCATATTGCATGGTTATTAGAGGAGGTACAAAAACCGGACTCAGATTCTCGAAGTGGAGAGTAATAAAAAAGCATAGGAGTTGTGGCTACAAGCTATGTGAAGATGTATTTTCTGGTACAACAAAACTATGCCAGACTGCTAGGACACGAGGAATTCTCTGGCCAATAAGATAACACATCCCGAGATGCAGTAAGTCCCATGGTACTGTCGTCCACGTGAGTTTAATAGATTTTAAATATGTTTAAGCGCCTCTCACTAAGGTCATCGAGCAGTCTTGCGGAAAAATCAGATACTATAGATAAGTCTTAGCATAGAAATTTCAGCGGGGCGCTCGTTAAAATCATGTATTACGGGCAAAGTCCTGATCCTGTATTTTATTTTTCGCATTTATTACGGTCAGCGTCCGATATGTATTTATTTTTTTATCTCTGTATTAATAAAGCAAGTCTTTACATTCACAATATAATATTAGTAAATAATTCCATCGTGGAAAAAGTATTACTGATTATGTCATCAGAGCTCGAATTATTGAGATAGCGTATCACTGAGCTTGAGGCAGAATGCTCAGAATTTGGAAGAATCATCTAAGAAAAATCGTAAATTCCAGATCTGATGCATCCAGATAGCTGAGAAAATTCTTAATGAGGAATCTATGATCGAATATCGCGCTCTTTTTTTGAATGGATTAGAACTTGATGCCTTCTTCCAAAGATACCGAATTGCATTTGAGGATTCATAGCACTAGCTGGTATAAAGATGTCTAAAAACTCATTAATCGTGATCGGCAAAAAAGGTAAAAAAAAGTTGCATTTGTGGAATTTTCTTATTGAGGTATGGTATGACGAAAAACCGGAAATCGTTGTTCCTAATAGGATACAAAAAATTAAGGAGTTTGTTTGTCTAGCATCCAAAAGTTTCGATCTCCTATAATCAATGATCTTATAATATGTAATTCATATATTTAATTTTTTCGCATATTCTACGTTCAAAATAACGGCCACTATCCTAACGAACCCAGAACAAAATATTTATGTGAAAAACACGAAATCTTACTCAATATACGGGTGGGCATAGTCCGTAGCCAATAATCATGTATATTAGTTCGTTATGTATCACGATCATCAAGGCGAGTCATGTGCATCAATAAAGAATTCGGCCGAAAAGAGTATCGAGAATATCGAGAATATTTTTCGAGGTGTAACTTGATAAATAAATGCGCATTAATGTTAAATATCATGTAGTTCACTTGTGGGGAATATTATTTACATAATCTGTGTAGAAGAGATATAGATAGAAGAAAATTTTGTAGAGAAACAAGTTGGTTGTAAAAATTTATAAGAAACCTGAGAAGGCAAAGAAATAACTTGATGCTGGGAGAATGACAGCATCACATGTTTCGTTTACTCTCTTATTGTATTTATTAATAAAGTTTACCAAAGTTTGCGGTGAGTGAATTATTTTACAAACTGCATTATATGTTTTTTTATTGTAATAATAAAGTTAGCATCATGCTGATCAAAATACACAAAGAAATTTCTCACTTTTTATTTACAGTTTTACAACCAACCCAAATATTACTAAAAACTAATAAGCATTAAAAATTAGATTTTTAGAACTTTTATATGGTATATAAAAAGTTAACTAAGATCGTAATAGTACAGCCTGATCTACAATATACTCAATGGTACCAGCGCTATGCTACCTGTATATCGGGCATTCATTATTACATTAATCATCCACTGAAGTTTATTTCATAATCATCTTCACACATAAAATGAACTATCCAAATATGTTTGCAGATAATTGTTCAGCATACCTAAGAACCCTTTCAAAGTGTTCACTGAGGCCCTCTTTCGTTGCAGTGGCAAGAAGCTCGAGAACAATTTTTTGACGAACCGTTGTAATTACTATATCGCTGTATGAGTGCTTATTTTTTCCGCCATCACGATTTTCTATTATATGCCATTGTCCAGTGACCTCGTGACCATAATTGGAACTTCAGGGAAAGACACATATAAATCAGAAATAACTCGTCGTCGCATCAGCTCATCCATAAAAGCAGATGGCATTCTGTATATATTATCATCTTTGCCAACTACTGTTAGAACTCCTCCGCTGTAAGGAAATCTGCTTTTTTTTTTCTTCGGAATTATTGATTTGCACAGAACCGAGAAATCCTACGAATGAATATCGGAGAAAGTCTATAGAATAATGGACAACGAGAAAGCATATTTAATATTATTAACAAAAATTGTGAGACACTTACCGGTAATGGTAGTTGCGATGGCAGCAACGATGTGGATGTTATCCGTAAGTTTACGATCAATTTCAAAATATCTTTCAAAATGGTGTTCCATGATTTCTTGCTTACTTTTATCGACGTCAACTCCCCAAAGATTCAATACGTCAAAATTATTTAATTTTCTTTCATGTGAGATAAACTTCACGACGTGTCCAACTTTTACATTACCAAATGGAATTCTATTACCACCAATGTCGAAGAATATATCATCGCCTTCTTTGTAATAGTCAACCTGGAACACGACACCATTATCTAGACGTAAAGTCAGCCATTTCTGTTATATTTCTTTAAAGATAAAAAAGATATTTTAGTTTTTAGAGAAAAGATATTTTAGGTTTGAGAGAAAGGATATTCTAGAAAAAGAGGTTTTGAGAAACTAAAGAACCGTTGAGGGTATATATATACCTTTCGTGACTATAGACTTATTAATAAAGCGCAGTAACTCTGTGATGTAAGATTTTTCACGTCACTCCGGTCCCAAGTTGTCGTACTATTTCTACGTTATGAACTCGTTAAAAAGAAACTGACCTATCGCAGTTTGAAAGAAGTGTTATTATTGAGGTCCGGACAAGATACTTCGCAATTAAGGTATGAATGAATTATATTTTTTCGGTTAGATTTTCACGGTCAGTTATTTCTTTTTCTCGTTCAGAAAGAGTCTGTTCGAATAAACTTACCTGTTAAGAGTATCAGTTCCACCTGGGATCGTATGTTTTCAGTCGTTGACGATCCTTTTTCTTTGTATGCATATAATTGAATCAATTCAACAGTTTTTCATCAAAACTTCAAATTAAGATATAATACAACGTTTGTTTCTTTGTATTATTTAGTATGTCTATTTTATAAGAGTAGATAACGATTTTTCTTCTGGAATAATAGGATGACATCATCAAAAAAATTAAGAAATTGCGTTTAATCTTATTTGAAACATATTATAACATATAGTTCATTTGTATTGTACTGTATATAACGCACTTTAGGATGAATACTATTCGCTGTCCTATTGATAGTAGATATATTTCCGAGTTGTGAGACGTCGCCATATATCATTTTAATAGAATGTGGAAGCTAGTTAAGTTGAGCTGCATAGTATGAGTGAAAAGATAGTGATTACGAGTTCTGTATATAACCTATATATCAGAAAAAAAAAAATCTTAGAATTCATAGAATTCTACGTATTCCAAGAATCAGAATTCTTCATATTCGGTAATGTTCTAAAAAATGTGTTTAACAAATAGTTAGATTTTTTACGTTATCGATTAATTATGAGAATACAGAATGTTGGAAATTCGTAAAATTCGTGGAAAAAATATTTAACTATATATACAACAATGGTCACTTTAGAAAAAGACACGCTAACGAAGGTTTTCACTCATGGGCTACACGTGTTCATGAACGGTTAAAATTTTATAACAGAGGAAATGATCAACGTGTGTATCAATATAGAAAAATTAGAGATAGACGTGCGAGGACTTCTAACACCTTTGACATCAAATGGCGAAATCGAAACGTTTAACATTGAGATTGGAGAAATAAAAAAGTCCGATAGTACAGATATGGTGACTAAAGGATATCGCCAGTTATGGTTACGTTTAGCAGTCATTGGTTATGCTCAAAGTATTATTGATCCAAAAACTAAAGTGTAATTTGATAGGTAATTTATATACACCAAAAACTAGTAAGATCTTTAATTCTCAATATGATGATGGGTTTGACTTTATGAAGAAACAAAGATTACAACTATTTTTACCCATCCATTTTATTACGCTGTTGATGTGTAACTGTTATTTAAGCAATAAAAAATTATTATTTGATTCCATAAAGATCACTGAAGCTATTACACATGGCGATGTATTTGATCGATACTCTGTGAGCTGATATTTTTCTCAATCAGTGCCTTAACAGTTATATAATACCATCAATGAATGTACAATCCACTATTAATCTTTTAGAATTTCTCAAACTACCTCATCTTTCCATATAGTATTTATACGCAACATTTTTTAAGATCTTGGATCGGAAGATACTTAAGGTTAAATGGTATTAGTTCAGGCGTAAGCTGATCAAGTAAATTAGCTGTATGCGTTAGAAGAATTTTCAATCGGAAAAGTTAATACATGAATTTAACTGAGTAATCCACTGCTTACAGGCTAGTGGTGCATGTGGCTCAGCAAAATCCTTTCGAGCTTGCTCCGGAACAGATAGCAAATTTATGCGCATCATTTAACATTTAGATGATGAATTCGATAGAATTTAATTTTATTATTTCTCTTTATAATATTTCTATATATTTAGAAATAACAAACGTTTTGCGATAAAGAAAACAATGGCTGATGCTAGTCCAGCTCCTGTAGGAGCAATCCCACTCCAGTTACCGGAAGCCATAGCAAGGATTATATGCGACCCTATGATATGGAAAGTTACCAAAAGGTACATCATCATTGACCAGAGAAGAGTAAACTTATTTCTTTCTTTTCCTTCCAATATAAAAGCTCCATGTTTTTTTCTTATATTTAAGCATATCACGCACGTAATTACAAGTGCTAATAATGCCACTAAATATATTCCCCATATCCATTGAGTAACAGCTTTTTCTGTCTTCATCAATTTAATACTTAATGCTGTAATACCTATCCAACCAAGCAAAGACAGCGGAAGCGTTATGTAAATACCACAATCTCTATAAGCGGGATCTCTTGAATTCGTTTGAATACAACAACAGTTACAAGTTTCAGACTCCGTCCTAATCCTGGTGCTGTAACCATTACTTTCATATGTATTTTTATATTCTACTACACTTATAATACCATCATTCAACATTTTGAAGCTCTATGGAGTTAATTGTCCAAGCGCAATAAGTGTCACCATCCATTCTCCTCGACAACGGACACACGTATAGATAGCTGGTACTATCGTCATAATGGATAACAATATTCCAAAACACATATTTTGTGATTTATATTGTTTATTCCACATCCATGGTGAGAACAATGGATAATTGAAATATGCTAAAGAAATGCACAAATAAGACAGAACCCAGCATATTATCCCAAAGATTCCATACGGCAACCCATAGCAGGAGGCTTGATGTGCTAGTTCGTCAGAGAAATCTAATAAAGGGGTTTCAATATTGTTTCTGAAAATTTAAATATCACAGCTTTAATTGACCAAGCTTACCAGGAATGCTCATTGTTCATAATCAACGAGTAACGAGAAGGAAATATTATAAAGGTTGATTATGATTATATTTATATTGGTTAAGGTTACATTCATGTATTTTGGTTAATGGTTACCCTCTTATGTGATACGTTGTTTTTGCATATATTTTAATACTTTTTTTAGACAAACCCAACTTGGTCATCCGACGGATAATCACATTTTAACAATTACAATAAAAGGTACGGTATTCTTTTTTTTTTTTGAGATACATATTTCTATGCATAATTTAATAATTTTAAATCTTCCTTTTAAAGGTGAAAAAAAAAGAGAAATTAGAAACGGATTAAAATATCATCCGACGGATGAAAAATTCAATCCGATCAAGGCTACACTTATTTTTTTACGTCCAATTAATAAAATAATGTATAGTAGAATCACCCCATAATAATTTAAGAAATCTTCCAAAAATTAATGAAAAGAGATTGGTCATCCGTCGGATGACGGACCTTAACTCTAACGCAATTTATTTATATGTTGTATAATGTGTTTATGTACGCCGACCTGCAGAATCTATTTTTGCTAATTATTGTACTAGGCCAGGACGGAATTATTATCTTTTTTGTAGTCACGTGTTAGGAATTACGACAGTAATGTTGTGTAATAAATCATTTTATTTACGGTTCTAAAACAAAATTGTTTATGGTACAACGAAATTTTATCAATGGCTACGAAAAGTCTCATTATTTGTGCAATAAAAAAAAAATGTTACGAAACATACAATAAATCACAACTTTGTAAGAAAGTTGTCACAATGTTACAATATGAAATAAACTAGACAATGTTAAAAGTACCATAATCTCATTTTCGTACTCCGTTGACAACAAATAAAGTATTCAACAATTATGAATAAACTCGTAACAATAATAAACATATTGGTTTACAAACAAGTCTCTAGTGTTGATAATCGGTTTGTTTAATACAAAAAATAATTTGCGCAACAAACATCTGATTGATAATCAACTGTTCCGGCTCAATTATCACTGTTCGATCGAGCTTAATTGTGGATCCAATCGAAAATCTCACAGAATTAAATTCTCATTGGAAGAATTACCTACTGTTGAACACGTGAAACGACGTCGTCCTGACTTATATGATGGATAGAATTGTTCTTCATGCAAAAATGGTCCTGAAACTTTCAATCATATTTGGGTTTGACCTCAACACCAAGCTATTATTGTATTATTGCTACCGTAATTTTCAATCAAAAAAAAGAGATTCAATATTTTGGTGATTTACCTAATTTCTCGTCACGTAATCTTGGTCATCCCACATTATGGATCTGCGATAATCAATTAATTTTTATTGAATTTATTAAAGGAATAGTACCCTTTCATTCTTTAATCATATTAAAAAATAATACAAACTTTGTCCGTTTTTATTAACAACATTTATATGGATATCGACAAAGAAATTTGCGAACGCATGATGGTGGATGAATTACATGCAGAAATTAACAAAAAATCGAAACGACAAAAATATACTTCTACTTCTTGATTACCTACTAATCCTATTTCGAATTTGGAGGGATTAGTTACAAATTATTCTTCAAATTTTCAGTTCGTGATTAACTCTGTCATAGTGTTCCTTTTGAGACCAATTCTGTGGTTTAATACATTCAGTTGGCAGTAGTATGGGTAAATTCCTCATGACAAGGTTGGGTTTGTCTGTCTGGGTAGTTTACTATGGTAGATAGGGGAGACAGTAGTTCTTTTTCTTTTGTATTTGTTTGTATCAATGGTTTTGTACTGTTTACTTTTATACTTTAATAAATTGACTTACAATCTTAGCGCAAAAAAAAAAAAATGTGTGAGCAAATTATCTGTTATTATTGTGGTGAATCAGTAAATCATGAGACCAGAGAAAATAATTCACATTGGCATGAACTAATGTGTTCGTTTACTTCGAATTTCATTCGCAAGGTTGAAACAATCGAAAAAATCCAAAAATACTACTTCCTTGGATTTACAGACCAGGTGGATTATTAATGAACAACATTGGAATTATTGAAAAGCATTTACATTAATAGGTATTAACGGGATGAAAATATTTAACGATCAAATAAATACAATGTTCTGTTAAAGTCCCGTGAAAAGACTATGAACTGAGGTCACCCGGAGGGCACAAACTCCTCACGTAATATTGGTATTTTTTATATAGGCATTCGAATATAAAAAAAATCATGTGCGCGTGATAAATTGACACACCGATCATTTTTTGTAAAGATTATTTTGTCAAATAACCGGATAACTAATAAAAACGAAAGTGGATATAGCTAAATGAGTAGTGGACGTTGCTGAACTTAGTATATATGAATAGTTTAAGAATGAATAAAAGCGTGGTTGATCGGCAAGACGCTCAGGGAAGAGCTATTCCGCACAGCAAAGCATCATATATGTATTAATCCTCTAAAGAATATATTTCTTAGTTGATCTTCGCTGTATTTGACGACCTCATTACATCTCCTTAGCAACGAATAGTAATCTGCCACCGATTCATTGCTCTGCTCCAACAGATATTATATTCTGTATATTGAATTGATTGTCTTGCTCATGGTTTGCGCTACGAATTATTTAAGTGAAATAAAAAATATTTAATTGATAGTTTCACACGTTAGGAGACTGTGAACAACATTGCAATTTGTTTATGTTAATAGGAATTAACAGATGAAAAATTAAGCAGTGATCAACGAGCACATTAAACGTAACACAAAATTTTTTTATTTCGTTATCGCAACACATATAAAACGATAAAACACACAAATGAGTAGTGGACGTTTAAAGGGAGTAATAAAGTATGAAGAGAAATTCAGGCATAGCCTGGGCTCCGCCTATACTACTGCCGGTCTCGCTAAGCGAGAATAGCAGTTCTTCCCATTACTCATTATTGCGAACCCATATACTAATCTTGTCTAATGTATGTTTTTTTTCTGAGAATTATTCTTATGATAAAAATTTTTCCCAGTTTGCTCATAAATCTTCCCTATACCGCACTTATTACAATTGCTATCCTATTGCATACTTAAAATTGAGCGAATTCTTTTTAAAATGATCATACATCATTTTGTCGTGTTTATATATCTTTTTACATAGAACAAGCTAACTGAGTTTAAAAAGATGATATCAAATGTACAGTACGTTGAAGAGAAGACTCAGAAACAATAGATTATTAATAAACTATTCGGTGATTGTTGAGATGACCTCGTAACTTTTGTGGTGTTGCGAATGTTTGTCCACAGCGTTCACATGTCCTGTTTCCTTTTGCCATTGTTTCCTGTCTTTAGCATAGTCTCGTGTATAAATTACCTTATATAATTTTTTCTTTAGATTAATTATATGCCTCATATAAGTAAACATCGTTATAGATGCTTGGAGGATATTCCTGCCCATATATTTTCATTTCTGGTAAGGTATGCGGCAAACCATGTATTCGTTTTGAAGGTTACCACATCCATTTTAATAAGAAGAAACGTTATCCTTGCACTGATTGTTGCAAACTTACTGCTTCTGTTTCTAGCCGTTGTCAGAAACATATTAGAGGCTATTATGTCGCTCAATATTATTCAGAGGTTACGCAATAAAGCAAGATTAGCAGGAACTGACTATTGATTGAATAGTTTATACTATGTTTTTAACTAATTTATACTATACATTGATCTAGTGATTGGAATCGAAAATCGAATCTTTTCAAGATTTTTCTTATAGACGACCAACCTGACTTTGAATCAGTTTCTAATTTCAGCAAAAATAATCAGCACTTGGCCGGCATGAAAAATTACTTTGGAGTCAGGTTAACTTACATGTAAAAAATTGCTGAGAATCGATTCTCGAGAATCGATTTTACTATGTTTTGTCGATTTTCGATTAATCGATTCCAATCCCTACATTGATCGCCTCTTTGAGAGTATGTGGCAACCGGGTATTTTTAGTTAGGCATTTGGTTAGACAGTAGAACGTATCACACATTCTACTGAGAATGGAGTTTCATAAAGTTCAGTTGAAGACTGCTCGAAGAGCACAATTTCCCAGTAGAAGGGGGAGGTATTTTGGTTTGGATTTTGGTTATATTTATGGTTACTTCGTGTGCTCTGCTCACGTTTTATTATCCTGAAAATATCACATTCTTAGAGAATAGCATTTCAATCAAAAAAATCGAGCATCATGTATATTTTTTGGTTAATATTTTTCGGTTAGGTTTTGCGGTTAGGCTTATTGGTTACTTTGTGACCTCTGTTCACGATTTATTAACTCGAAAATAATACTTTCTTAGGGAACAGATTTATATCATAAAAATCTCGCTTTGTGTATAGGGATGGCAACGGTCGGTCATGACCGGTCAAGAACCTTTGACCGACCGACCGACCGTTTGACCGACCGTTTGACCGATCATTTTTTTTATATTTTCGCAGCGTTTTTATTAAGGTAATTGAAAAAACGTTGCGAAAACGTTTTATTTTAATTAAATTATTAATAAAAACGTTTTTGCAACGTTTTTTGTTAAAATAATTAAAAACGTTTGTGAAAAACGTTTTTTTTTAATTAAATTATTAATAAAAAACGTTTTCGCGACGTTTTTTATTAAAAAAATTTGGTCGGTCAAACGGTCGGTCAAACGGTCAGTCAAACGGTCGGTCAGAAGTCTTGATCGACCGATATCGGTCACGGTCATGACCGGTCATAATCCGTGACCGTTGCCATCCCTATTTGTGTATAAGTTTTTTTGGTTAGATTATTGGCCCGAACATAACACATTCTTATTTATTAGAGAACAGTAATTCAATCATAAAAAAATCATGCATCATGTATAATCTTCGGTTTAGGATTTGGGTTATGGATTTCGTTAGATCTTGGTTAGAATCGGTTAGAGGACATTGAAAGATCTAACACAAGGACTAATGTGGATAACATGTAACGTGAACAATATAGTAGACTAATATGCGCAATATGAAGGACCCATACGGAGGACTAACATACCGAAGTTATATAGAAAAAATTTTATCCCTCATGTTAAATTGGGGAGATAAAAATAATCGGACCCCGAAATTAAAATATCGGACCTCCAATGTTGAAGTTGGGGTAAAAGAAAAGATTACTCACCATATTAAATTGGGGTGAAAAAAAAAATGGTCCCCCAAAGTTAAAGAAGTGACTGAAGAATTCAAAGAATTTCTTTCTTTTATTTCATTTTTAAATGTAAAGAAGTAAGTATTAATCTCTATAAATCTTGTAAATATTTTGTATTTGTTTAATTTATATTGGTATAGAAAATTAACAAATGAAACTCTAAATTGGGATGAAATGTATCAAAAAGAGATAACATTTATTAACTTTGTTATATTGAGCATAAAAAAGACCTTTGCCACTTTTGTTAAGCTTTCCTTTTCTCTTAGATTAGATTTTTATTGGGCTTTTATTTTTGTTTAAAGTTGGAGTAGACTAATGACTATATTTACAGTACTTTGCATGAGCTATGGACTTATGTACTACACAAGTTCTGCAAATCCATAATAGAGCTATTTTTTCTTCTCTTCTATCAAGCCATCTCTATAATCTTAGAGATGTGATTTATTTTTTCTTTATTGGAATTTCATCAGGTTAAATTAATTATTTGGCTAATTTGACCAGGTGCCTACCCTATAAAAACGAAATGTATTAAATTTGTTGTTCATATGTAATAAATGTCTAAACAAGCACCATTTTGTCCGATTTATGTCTTATTACAAAAAAACGAAAATTAAACAAAATGGTGCTTTTTTAGACATTTATTACACATGAACAACAAATTTAACACATTTCGTTTTTATAGGGCTAGTAATTATTAATCATTAGTTTCAGCTTGCATATAGCTTTGTATCCTTCATTAAATACAAAATCTATCAGTAGCAATTTTCTGCTGACATCAGTATATTTGAATTTTATGTAAGATGCAACTCTTACCCATTAAATAACAAATATTCTTATATAAATAAATTAGCAATTCATGACTAGATGACTAAATGCTTTTGAAGATACTACTCATCACACTTAAAGTAAATCTTAATTCTTATTACTAACAAGTCATTTGTTTTAAACCCTCATTAGCTGAACTAATTATCTTTTTTTTTATACTCTGTCAGAAAATTACAATCCATTTTGATTTAATTCCATACAATAAATTTGAACACTGAATGATAATTGGATCTGCAAGTTATTTTATAAGTACTATAATATTCTATTTTCATCAATCAAATATTAAAAAGACCACATAAATGATCTTCAATAATGGATTTGAAATCAATCTGCGCCTAAGTCACATGTTTGTGACACATTAATTTTTTATTGAGGCTGCGCAGATTGAGATCATAGATCCGAGATTCTGCAATAAATATTCATTTATTAATTTATTAACTAGCTTTTTTTTCAATTTTGTGGAACACATCACATCAGATTCTACAAAGTTTTTAATTTATTTTTGTGTTATATATGTTATACAAAGACTTGTTTACACTTTGTAAGCAACAATAATAATTTCATTTATATAATTATATTTCAAAATTCTATTCACAGTGTATTTATTAAAATCAAAAAAAGGAAATCACTAAAGGCTTGTTAACCAAGTTTGTATTCATAATAAGATATTATAAATTACGGGGTTTTGAGGGGACCCATTAGAAATTATTTTACTATTTTTGTAATAAACATGGTAAGATGAAGGAATAAAAAATAACCGAGTTTTGACAATAGTAACATTTATAGTTCATGCCTTTAAAGTAGAAGAAAAAAATAAACAAGAAGCTTATAGAAGTCTAGAAAGTACAAACTAATCTATAAAGAAAATATCTCATATTAAAATTTAAATAAACTTAGAAAATTTTAAAAACATATTTTGGTAATAATTAATAATAAATGAGGATAAATACAATATAATTAAATGAAAGCATGCGCGAAATTAGCATTAAAGAAATATATCTAAAATAATTTTTAAGTAAATTGGCTTCCATTAAAAAATTGATCCAATTGTGGATTATTTGTAATAATTTGTTGTGGAAGACGCATCAGTGTTTCTTCAATGCTGATAAGAGAATACCTTCTATATATTCTATTTCTTCGTCTTCTTCTGAGTAGTTGATCGTATCCTCTTTTTCTTAGAGGTTTTTCGAGTATTTCACTATTATCAGTGATATTAATAGGACTGCTGTTTTGACTTGATGAAGCCATTTGTGTAAATATTTTTAAAAATGAAAGTGAGAAATCTATTATACTTATGATACGAAATTTCCTTTTTTTAACCACGTTTATACGTTCTTATATATTTAAAAGAGAATGAAAATTTGTTGTAGTATTATTGCGGCGGACACACCCGCTGTATCATAACACCAACCTTAACTATTACATCCAATCTTTTTTAACAGGATGCCTACGGTGTGAACCGTAATGCATACATCGTAAGACTTAATTCCTATTATAGTGTTAAACATTGTCGATATTTGATACTAATTCAAATGAAGTATAAATCTCTAAGATGAATTCGAGATTATTAGTATCAATGAAGATGCATATAATAAATTTAAAGAATTATAAAAATTTTTCCACTTTCACAAACAGCTTAGTGCAAATTACCTATGATTCTGTTAAAAATGACGAAATAAAAAGGCATTTATATTGGTGCTGATTAATAAACCATGTGTAAAGCCCCTTAATAATCTTAAGTCAGACATAACTAATGAATGATGTAATTTGTTATGATAACATTTGGTCCTATGATATAATATAACTAAAAAAGTTTTAATATAAACCGTTTATGTGATCTTAATTATTTTTTCAATATAAAACACATATTTTCGAAAAGAGTTATCCATATTAAGTGTTATCCGCATGAGCTATCCAAATGAAGTGTTATCCGCGTGAGCTATCCAATTTAAGTGTTATCCAAAAGTAATTTAATCTTAAAAAGATTCACTGAGCATTATCAATGAATTCAATAGATTATTTATAATGTGCAATGTTAATAGTTCTTTATTGAGAAAGGCCTGCGTCATTTATAAAATGACAAATCTTGTAATGCTATTGTAACGTGAAAGTATTTATCGATTCAAACCTTAAATTTATCGCACAAATATAATTAATAGGTTGTAGTTTACATAATTTGATATGATATGGTTGTCGATCATAATAAATTTCGGATTTTTTTTTTCCTCAAGGAAATATTTCAAAAAAAAAACAATAATATTTAATAGATGAAATAACAAATCTTAGAAATGGGTTCTTATTTATTTATAATTAATCCGTTATCATTAATTTTTATTATCTTTCTTTTGATCCTACATGAATTAAAATCTTCATTAGATCTACATTCCAAATTAATTATTCAAATTTCCATAAAGAGTTAGTGTAAATCGGGCATTCCCACTTGCCCAGTTTTGATGAAAATTTCTTTAAGGACTTTATGGGTAAATTTTATACATATGGTAATCTCTATGTACTAAAAAAAATAAGTTTTTTATACTCAAATGAAAGTGGGAGGTATTCTTTTGAATGTATGTAACATAAATTGCATACATTGAGATTTTCTAAAATCTGATAATTATTAAAAATGTATTGATCCGATTCGTGGCGATCATTTCATTAACCGCTTTGTGGACATATTTTTCCACGAATTTATGTTTGATTGCCTTGATTATTTAATTGCTTAATAAAGAAAAATAGAGAAGAAAAAAGGCTTTTTTCTTATCGCAGATCCAAGTCCCACATTAAAATGTGTGATAATTCTCCGGCAATTTTCTATGATAATTTAACCTTCCCTTTAGATATTAGCTACAATATGAGATTATTTGTTTCTTTATGCTAACAAAATAAGTTAACCCACAAAATTCATGTGTTTCAAATATGAATGGCTTTTCTATGTATAATGGAATCTCTGCATTCTTGTGCCACTGTTTCTTTACTATATATTGTGTCAATAAAAAAAGTTAGTATCTCGTTTATCGTTTTTTCTTATTTACCTTTTTGAACAGTTAAAATGGCTTCCAAGTTTCTTTTTTCCAATTTTTCTTCATTTTTTTTCCATTTTGTCTGCTTGCGATTATAATGCCATGCATATACCCTAAAAGCTGAGACAAAACCAATACTGTGGTGACAATTATTTGGTAGGTGGCTCATGCCTCTGCAATCTGCATGCTGTTACGATTTCATTTACATTTTTTTGACTTCTTTCAGGATGTAACAGAAGAGATATTGTTTTTGAATGTGGTCCTTCTTGTAATACCTCGAATTTTGTCCTTGAGGCTCTTTGTAAACAATGTGGTGACTTTATCACCTCAAATCCACAACCCTACTATAAAAGGTATAATTAGTTAATTTACTTAATATTTATTAAACCCAATGTCGTCAGATTTTCTTGTATATTAAAGATTCATATACAGTAAATTAAATCATTTTTGACACATATTACTTTGTCTCCGGAATATGAAATGAGAAAGCGGGATAAATTGAAGTAACTTTATAGCACTCTTATCATGTAAAATATTATATTTTATTATGTCTCTCACATATTTACGAGATAGTATATTTGCATGGGTTATCATTATGGGTATGCTAATAACTTTTTTTTATTTTCGTCCTTAGTATCCTAATAATTACAACAGTACCATGAACATGATCTACCATTCGTAATGCATGCGCACCATGATTTACATTCCACTCGCATTATTTGAGCGTTATATCAGGTCGCATTTTAATCATAATTAATCGAGTTTACCAAGGCAATGACAGTCAGTATCATACTCAAGAAGAACTATAAAGGTTAAATTTCATTTGTTAAATTTTTACTTTTTTTCATTAAATGACGTATTTATTAAGTATTATAAATTTTAAAAATCTGTTATTAATGGGTTAGAACTTGATGTATTTGCCTTTTACAACATAATTAGTAATTATATTAATTATATATGCAAATGAATTTCGCTAATTTTTTCCATATTTAACTAGTGATCAGTGAGATACATATCTTTGCATCTTTGTATTTTACATATAGGTCTGAAATTTATAGTAGGTTTGAAGTTTATACTAGAACTTCACCTCCCGGTATACTCATTTGGGCCCATCACCATCCAGATGATGATGAGGGATTAATGATTTGACACCGGCTGCCCACCACCGATATTGCAATTGGCGTAGAATCAGTGGAGCTACCCTTTATCCATCGCTATAAGTTAGTGAGCTTCGTATATTTTGGTTAATACCCCAGGACGCATTCAACTCACCGACAATTACTTTACTATCGATAATCATCATTTCACCGATGACTGTTCGCCGACAAACGTCTCACCGACATATACAGTAATATTTAAATATTACAAAATAAAATTAAATTAAATTTTTTTTAAAAAAAAGGCAAGTATGTATTATTTATCTTTCGTATAAAAAAATTTTTCTTTTTCTAATATTCTCTAATTTAGTAAAATTAATATGTACTGTACATAGCCTCAAATTTGTTATTTTTAGCTGTCCCATGATGAGCAAAAGGCAAAAAAACAAAATAATTTAATTTTCTTTTAAAATAGGCAAAATGAACGTCGGTGAAATGACTTTCAGTGGAATGTTATTGACCTGTCACTGAAACGTTTGTCGGTGAAGCGATTTTTCGGTGAAGTAATTGTCGGTGAAATAAACCAGATTCAAGAGCCCTGGGTTCCGCCGGTTTATAGCTTAGCCGCCTTAGCGGCCTCAACACTTTGGAAGAAGCTGAATCACATTGGGTACCTAAGTCTGACCGGGTTACTATAGCCGAAGCTGAGTTCCCCCTTCTGTGTCAGTTAGATAGGTAGTGGCATTAACACAGCAATGCCCAGCTACCCCAACACAGCAGTTGGATATCTCCATCAATAATTTGACTCCCGTTTAGCTTAAGGAGTGAGTGACTACCAAGACAGGATCGGAGGGATCAAGGGTATGTGCAGGACCATCCTTTTAGGTGTTTTATATATATGTGAAAGAGTTTTTATTAGAAAAACTAACAATTCTTATGGTTTATACTAACATTTAAGAGTGTGCTCCGCCATTTGTACATTATTCTGTTACAAAACATGTAATATAGCAGAAATGGCTAGGAGATTTCTGTTATAATAATAAGTAATACGTATTTTAAATAATTTGCAAGTGAAATTATAAATCATATATATTAGAAAATGCTTAATAGATACCAATATACCATAAAACAAATAACTAGATAACTAATTTGAAATCTTGTATTTTGTAATAACTCTTAACAGACTCCGCGCAACAAAAAATAATTTAAACGTTCAAGACAGATATTTTTCATTCATATTAATGATATTAATGGGTCACAAGATGGTTGAATAATCACGTGAATCAGAGAACCAATTGCCACAATCTATATGCATCTTTTCGGGGCCGGAATTACGGTAATGCTAGTCAGTAAATTGTGATCGTAATTTTTTTATATTAAAAGTAGGGATGGTAAAAAACATGGTTTAAAACAATTTTGGCGGTTTAAAACATGGTTTAAACGTTTTAAAACATTAAGCACTTTACTAGCATTTACTATGTAATACAAATTTGCAATAAAAATTTAAGCATTTTATTATATATAATATATATTAATTTTAAATCTTTTACATTTCATCAAATGATCTTTTAATAGATCAATTAAATCAATAATTTCATTTCCACAATAATTACACTTTTGATGAGGTGTTTTTCGACCACGTCCATCAACTTCTGTAACTTTTTTAAAGTGCTTACGGACGTCTTCTGATGGTGGTCTTCCACGAGAAATAATTTTAAAAAAGCTATTTTGCAAAGAGATCCTTAAAATACAAAAAAAAGGTTGTTTATTGATTAAAATAAAAACACACGTTTTAAAACATGTTTTAAATCACGTGCCACCTAGTTAAAAGGCAATCCATTTTTCTACACGATCGTTTTGGCCATTTCTACGCAAGACTCCGTTATTTAATATATTGAATGATTGTAACATTAATTCTCCTTTTAATATTTCTTATTTTGATTGAATATAAGAACAATTCTCCTAATTATCTACTCTAATTTCTCAAAATTTCCGGCTATTCTCTTCATAATTCTTACAATTCCAACTTTCATATTTGGATTTTCTTTTTTACAGTCCATTTTAAAATAAATTTTTTGTTCATAACAAAGTAGTTTACATTCATGAAAATACGAAAAATCAAAATTGTCATATTTAGTTATACACTTATTATACACAAAAGGGAAGGATATAGCCCGTATAGGGCCTATCCCTGAATTTTGCTCATATCCGGCATGTTACGTCATTTATTACCGGAAATCATTTTTTTCAAACATAAGCACGTATAAAAGAAGAAAAGAAAACAATATTATGAAATAATTTATGAATAAATTTCCCATTTTACTTTCCGGTTTTATCCCATAGGATCATTATGTACATGTTGAACCAATATTTATATCGTGCTAAGTATAGCGTGTTTATAATATTAAACGGAAACCGTTATCAAGTCCGAAGCGCAGTTATCATTGCACAACATCACGTGCCGGACGGACAACAGGACATTTGTGAAACGAGAATACCTCCATTGTATATAAAGTATGGTGCTAAAAATTGGTATGTATGGTTAGTATGGTACTATTAAAATTTTATACTTTTATATTAATCACAATGATACAACGATAATGAGTATGATATGATCCTCGTTGTATGTACGGTATGGTCGAATATCAGTTATACTGTATAGAGATCTGAAGTGGCACGTGCCACATCATACCATTATAGTGGAATCAGATGACGTATACGAAGTATTTTCTTAAGAGATTAACCCGACCCGATTTGATTTTGATTATGTAGTAATATGCGACTTGTGATCAAAATTCATAAAGGATCTGCCAGATTTAATATATGTAAAATAAAATGCTAAATGAAAAAGTTGAATATAATATATACTAGACTTAATTCAAACGGAGACCCGATTTGTTGTGAAAAAAGATCATCGTTTGTTGTTAGATGCACGACGTCATATTCATGTGATACGGGCATATGGCGTTAAATATCCCGATTGTAACATTGTAAACTTAAACTTCAATATTCTCCCGTTAAGATGTCAGCTACAAGTATTAAAAGTGATGAGAATTTCTTAAAAGAATTTTTAAGAGGTTTTTATCAAAAAATTATTGATATAGATGATTATCATATTACATTTGAAAATACTTTGAGCGAATGGATAAAGAATATTACTAAGGATACCAAAACAATTCTAGAGTTAATGCAAAATCATGAAAAGTGTGAATTGTGGTTTTCCGGTATTCTTGGATTTTTTTATCAATGCGGTATTAGTTGTGATCATGTTGATAAAACTAAGGCATTGGAATTGTATTTACTAGCTGTAAGTAATAAAGAAGCTTTATGTCAAAAATCAACTACAAACTTACATTTGTTGGAAGAAAATAATGATAAATGTGATATGTTACAAAACATTAATATTATGATTGGAAAATATTTATTATCATTATTTTATTATAATGATATTATTTTAGATAAAATAAATTTGAGTAAGTTAGAATATTCAGAATCTGCTAGAAAAGGTAATCCAATAGCTCAATATAATTTAGGGTATTGTTATCAATATGGTAAAAGAGTAGCTAAAGATTATAATAAAGCATTTATATGGTATTCTAAATCAGCTAATAATGATTATGCATTGGGACAAAATAATTTAGGAGAATGTTATGAGAAAGGAATTGGTACTGATAAAGATTTTGAAAAAGCATTTGAATGGTATTCCAAATCAGCTGAAAATGGGAGTGCTGAAGGTCAAAAGAATTTAGGAAATTGTTATTATTACGGAAGAGGAGTAACAAAAGATTATAATAAAGCATTCGAATTGTATTCCAAATCAGCTAATAGTGGATATGCTTTAGGTCAAAATAATTTGGCTCGTTGTTATGAGATTGGAATTGGAATAGATAAAGATCTTAATAAAGCATTTGAATTATATTTTAAATCAGCTAATTGTAAATGTGCTATAGGTCAATATAATTTAGGTGTTTGCTATGAGAATGGAATTGGAACTAATAAAGATAATAGTGAAGCATTTAAATGGTATTTTAAATCAGCAAATGAAGGATATAGTCTTGGTCAATATAGATTAGGTATTTGTTATAATTATGGTATAGGTACTAGCATAAATATTAAAGAAGCAGCTATTTGGTATAAAAAAGCCTCAGACAATGGATGCAAGGATGCAAATAATGAGCTAAATAAAACTAGTAAACTTGTAGCATGGGTTTATTAAGGATTTAATAATTCCAATCAAATTAATAAATTAAATTGTAATTTATATTGTGTAATTTTTCGTCATATTTTACGTCGTAATATAAATATATATATTTATCCCACGGTTCCTAGTTAAAATTTGTGCTTTTTTTTCTTGATATTCTCACGGGTGGTGTTTATTTAAAAAGATGGGTAAAAAGTCTATCAATATTGGAATAAAAAGTCTAACATTATTAGTCAAAATAAGTATATTAAAGGGCTTTATGGTATGGATACCGTGAGTTATTTCACGGAGTCACTGGAATATCATGATTTTCACGGCGCAGCCGTGAAAATCATTGATATCCGTGAAATAACAACAAATTCACGTGATAGTCGTGACACGGTGGCACGGAGTATTTTAGCCGATTGTAAAACTTAAATTTCATGTTCTTTGTTAATTAAAAATGTCAGTTGCAAGTATTAAAAGTGATGAAAATTTCTTAAAAGAATTTTTAAGAGATTTTTATCAAAAAATTATCGTCATATGTGATTATCTTGTTACATTTGAAAATACTTTAAACGAGTGGATAAAGAATATTGGTAAGGATACCAAAACAATCTTAGAGTTAATGCAAAATCATGAAAAATGTGAATTATGGTTTTCCGGTATTCTTGGATTTTTTTACCAATGTGGTATTGGTTGTGATCATGTTGATAAAACTAAGGCATTGGAATTGTATTCACTGGCTGTAAGTAATAAAGAAACTTTATATCAAAAATTTACTACAAATTTACATTTGTTGGAAGAAAATAATGAAGAATGTTGTGATACGCTACAAATCTTCAATTTTATTATTGGAAAATATTTATTATCATTACTTTATTATAAAGATATTATTTTAGACAAAATAAACTTAAGTAAATTAGAATATTCAGAATCTGCTAGAAAAGGTGATCCAATAGCTCAATATAATTTAGGATATTGTTATCAATATGGTAAAAGAGTAGCTAAGGATTATAATAAAGCATTTATATGGTATTCTAAATCAGCTAATAATGATTATGCATTGGGACAAAATAATTTAGGAGAATGTTATGAGAAAGGAATTGGTACTGATAAAGATTATGAGAAAGCATTTGAATGGTATTTCAAATCAGCTGAAAATGGGAGTGCTGAAGGTCAAAAGAATTTAGGAAATTGTTATTATTACGAAAGAGGAGTAACAAAAGATTATGAGGAAGCATTTAAATTATATTCCAAATCAGCTAATGATGGGTGTGCTGAAGGTCAAAAGAATTTAGGAAATTGCTATTATTATGGAAGAGGAATAACACAAGATTACGAGAAGGCATTTGAATTGTATTCTAAATCATCTGAAAATGGAAATGCTTTAGCTCAGCATAATTTAGGTTGTTGCTACATACATGGTAATGGAGTGGTAAAAGATTATAATAAAGCAATTGAGTTGTATTCTAAGTCAGCTAATAATGGATGTAGTGAAGGTCAATGTAGTTTAGCATATTGTTATGAATGTGGCGAAGGGGTTGAGAAAGATTATTACAAAGCGTTTGAATGGTATTCTAAAGCAGCCAACAATGGATGTAGTATAAGTCAATGTAGTTTGGGAAATTTCTATTATGATGGACTTGGAACAGATAAAGATGATAATAAAGCATTTGAATGGTATTTTAAATCAGCAAATGAAGGATACAATATTGGGCAATATAGACTAGGTATTTGTTATCATTATGGTATAGGTACTAGCATAAATATTGAAGAAGCAGTTATTTGGTATAAAAGGGCCTCAGATAATGGATATATGAATGCAAATATTGAGCTAGATAAAATCAATGAATTAGTGGCATAAGTTTATTACATTATTGTTTAAAATTTTTTCACGAATGATACATGCAATTTTTCATTCCTGTAAAATAGTTTATATTTTTGTGCTAACGTGAATTAATAAATGCATCGTTATCTAGTAACTATTGATGTAAAATCATAGATATAACAAATTGTGATTTAACAATATTTTTAGAAAGGACCATAAGGTACAGCTATGAGTTTGCGAACAACAAGCCAAAAAAAAGCTCATGTAAGTCTTTTCTTTTTATAAACGCATGATTAATTATTTATTAAATCATCTTCGGTTTCTTATCCGAGACCTTTTTATACCAACTCAATATATATTTACTGTATATTAGCATGATCATAGTATTCATTCAAATAATTTACTCATTAGCTGATTTGAAAAGCCATTCAAATGCTTTTTTATAATTTTTCGCAATTCTATTATTATATTGACCTTCAGCACACTTATTAGTTAATCATCTAGTATTGTTATTTAGTATATTTGTTCCAATTCCACATTCAATAATAAAAAATTAAATTATAGTTATAAACTTATGATTTTCAGTTAATAGTTTTAGAATGTTATATAAATAAATACTTTGTTAGCGTATTTTATTACTGATATTATATTCTTTGTTCACTTACATAAATTATCTTCAATCAACATTTCGATATACCTAGCCGACATTGAACGTAAAAACAGTAAATACACCATAGATAAGGATGGCCGATCCGTTCATATAAGATTTTAAATACTCAAGTTCGCATCACATGATCGATTTCATATGATAAATTTAAACGTGATCGAATTTTGCTTGATCAAGCTGAGTTTTATTTGATCAAATCATCGATCAATATTTAAATGTACCGTTCTAGTATTTACGCGCGGCATCAGTGTGACGAAAGAAAAATACGGACCTTGTAAATTGATTCTGACATTTGCTTTGTGTGTTGTATTTAGTAGTTTGCGTCTTCCGTCTTCCATGAGAATTGCGTAGACTTCTAATTAATTTTGCGTGAAAAAAATGGTAGTAAATAATAAAATAAAATAAAATAGATCAGCTCACCAGAATAAAACTAAATTAGAATGATATAGATTATATCCACAATATTAAAATAATCTAATTATTGTATTTAAAATATGTGTTATTTAAATATTTCATTATATACAATATTTTTGGTTTGATAGTTCTCTTGTGCATTTGTAATATAAGAATTTTAATATACTGATTTGATACAACTCTTGATAAAGTAACATATAGCTGATTATGTATTCAATAGGGGAATATTTTTATGTAATATACTTGGTAATTGTGTGTTATTGTATATGTTCTATGTAAGCACTGGACATTTTTCACGTATGTTATTGATCACTTTATAATAGTAATACACAAATTTTGGTCACTTTATAATTAGTAATATACAAAATTTTGATCACTTTATTATAAAATAATAAATAAGATACGCGATAAAGATCTCAGTTGCTTACGTCATACATATCCAATAACTTTATTATCAGTCACGTTTATTCGGCCACATGATAGAGTAGCATCCTAGTGTAAATCAGTTGTCATCTACAACATGACCGATAACAATTACATATTATATGATGATTTCTCTTCTTGAAAGTATTTCTTCTTTATATTTAGTTCTTATTTATCAAAAAATTTATTATAGATTTAATTACAAAATTATTAATATTGTTATGTATCTATATAATTAAAACATTCTCACTAAAAAAAAAAAAAAATTCGTTGATATCAAAAAAAAAAAATTTTTCACACAAACTATTAGTCGGGAAATAATATTATCTTAATAAACAAAAAAAAGTTCTCACTAAATCGAAAAAAACAATCTCAATAAACAAAAAAAAGTTCTCACTAAATCGAAAAAAACAATCTCAATAAACAAAAAAAAGTTCTCACTAAAAAAAAATTTCAAATTTTCATGCGAAATAGATCGGACGCAAGAATATCACCCTTTTCAATGTTACACATTTCAAATTATTTATACAGGGTAATCTAAATATGACAAATTTTTTAGTTTAGATAGATTAATGTCATTAAATATTTTGTCACCTGTTCATGCAATTATTGCCTTAGTTAAAATGCACTGTTATAATTTATTTAGCCATAACATTACAAATTAGAAATAATAATGCATTTTGGATAATTAAAACTTATTTATTACACATAAACACCAATATAAAAAATTTATTTTACAGGGAAAGATAAAATACAATTACGTACATTATCAAATTTATTAAATTATTTGGGAAATTTTTAGACCTATATAATTAATATAAAAAAAAATTATGCCAGAATTACCATAAAATTTTTGTATCTATCTAGTGACGCTCAAAGAGGATACTATATATATATGCAGTGCTAGACGATAATTTATTGATATATTTTAGTTCAGTAAATTAATTCCATTATCTGAGACTTTTTTATACTATATAATCACTTCTTCAATATAATTTGCAAAATACCTCATTTAAATGCTCCATTAATGTCTTATTGGTTCCAATTACATTCTCATAGCAATAATTAAATTATATTATTGGCATATTCGCATATAATTCAAGTGCTTTATTAAAATCTTTTTCTGTTCCAATTCCGTACTTATAACAATAAGCTAAATTATTTTGAGCCAAAGCACATCCATTATTGGCTGATTTGGAATATAACTCAAATGCTTTATTAAAATCTTTTTCTGTTCCAATTCCGTTCTCATAACAATAAGCTAAATTATTTTGAGCCAAAGCACATCCATTATTAGCTGATCTAGAATACCATTTAAATGCTTCATAGTAATTTTTTTCTATTCCTTTACCATATTGATAACAATATCCCAAATTACATTGACCTAAACTATACCCATTTTCAGCCGATTTAAAATACAACTCAAATGCTTTTTTATCATTTTTTATTACTAGTACTCCTCTTCCATAATAATAACAATTTCCTAAATTATTTTGAGCCAAAGCACATCCATTATTAGCTGATCTAGAATACCATTTAAATGCTTTATTGTAATTTTTTCTTACTCCTTTACCATATTGATAACAATATCCTAAATTATATTGACCTAAATTGTATCCATTTTTAGCCGATTTGAAATACAACTCAAATGCTTTTTTATAATCTATTGTTATCCCTCTTCCATAAAAATAAAAATTTCCTAAATTATTTTGACCTTCAGCACACCCATTATTGGCTGATTTAGTGTACCATTTAAATGCTTCGTTGTAATCTATCGCTATTCCTTTACCATATTGGTAGCAATATCCTAAATTATACTGAGCAATCGAATCACCTTTTCTAGCAGATTCAAAATACTTTACTCTATCATCTAATATAATATCTTTATAATAAAACAATGATAATAAACATTTTCCGATAATAACATTAATGTATTGTAATGTATCATAAAATTCATCATTATTTCCATTTAATAAATTTGAATTTATACATTTTTGTTTTAAAGAGTTCTCATTATTAACAGCTAATAAATACAATTCTAGTGCTTTATTTCTATCAATAATACAATCAATACCATGTTGATAAAAAAATCCAATGATACTAGTAAAATAAGAATTTTCTTTATGATACTGCATTAATTTTAAAATTGTTTTATTCTTGCTAATGTTTTTTATCCAATCGCATAAATTATTTTCAAATGTATTATGAAAATCTTTTATTTCTAAAATTTTATGATAAAAATCTCTCACAAACTCTTTTAATAAATTTTCATCACTCTTAGAAATATTGATAATTGACGAATAATGTGACATTTTAATAATTTTAATAAATTTGAAATTTGAATTTGAATTTTGCAAAAATTTTCTGTATAAGCTTTACTTATATATATATAGAAAAGAATGAATGAATTTAAATTTGTCTTAGCAATGACAAACGCCGTATCTGTTATTAACTTCATTCAACCAAATGATTTACCCTGTACGTAAGTAAATTATAGTTAAGAGAAACTTCTGCAAGCTACATTTCTATATTGAAAATGATTTATTTTTAAGCATAGAAAAATATATAAGAAATAAATCCAAATTTAGCTTCTTTACAATGAAAAAGAGCCCGGTGTAATAGGAATATTTATAGTCGACGAAGAAATTTATATATCATATTAAGAAGTAAACAATCAATTTGGGCTTTATAAAGAAAACAGCCGTATCCATTATATAAATTATTTCAACCAAATGACTTAATTAGAACGTAAAAATTTGTCCAACGAAATAAGAAATATTTATAGTAAACTTTCTTTATAAACAAACTTTTATTATTATCTTTGTTTTTACTTAGGCATAGAAAATATGTAAGAAAAAATCAGTCTAAAATCGGCTTAACAATGAAAGGGAATACTCAGCATGTAAAAAATTCCATCTTCGCGAGTACAGCGAAATAGGAAATATCTATGGTTGCTTTATTTAAATATATACAGAAAAGGATCAATCCAAATTTGACTTCATAATGAAGCGCCATATCACGTGATTGCCGTACCACATTGAATTACCCATAGGTATTTTGATGAGATACATAGCCAAAATTAACCTAATTCTACCGGAACTGATTAACATTTTTAATCCGTATATTGTATCTATTGTATCCGGGTCTTTTGGCGTGAGAGTAATTTTATTTTAAAACTTTTTCACTATGAAAAATAGGGGAGTACGATTTTACGTCTGATTAGAATCATCAACGCAGCATTATGCTACTTACTAAATACACATAATGACTTACTGTAGATAGTCCGAAATGTACAATGCCTAAAATTACATTATACTGCCTTTTCAAAAATGTTTTATATTCCATATTTTAAGATATAAATATTGTAATGATACTACCAAAAAATTAAAAATAATGAAGTATTTTATTCACAATTATACTTAAATATACAAATACAATAATGATATATAAAATATAATGAATAATCGTTATAGTAAATATAAAATTTATTCGCTTGTTTTGCTTTATTGACTTTTATTAATTTTAATGCACTTTCCTGAATAAATTTAAGTAAACCAAAAGATTAACGTGTATGAATATAAAGTAATGAAACAATATACAATATATTTACAAATACTTACTACCATTATCATGAATTTCAACATTTGATTCTTCAATTTTACGTTTTCTTGAAATAATTAATCTATTAGTATTAATTGCATTTTGGTTATGAGTCGTTGATGGATTTTGGATTGTAAAATTTAAACTTGGACTAGATGAACTGAATAATATAAAATCGGATTAATATATAATTTATTTTAATACTGCTTTGCTTATCAAACTTATTTATGTACCTTGGGGTATTATTAATGTCAAATTCATAAGCTTTTGTAATGTATTCTTGTAATGACCTACTTGTATATATAGCTTCTGAATGGCGTTCTACAGTAAAGTGAGGACCGAGCTTCTTTGAATTTATTAACTCTCTTCTTTTTATTTCAGCCTTATTAAATTGCTCAATATTTTTATTTCTAAAATACCAACTACCAAGAATTTTACGAATTTTTTTCATAGTTGGTCTTTCTTGAGGATCAGAGCTCCAACAACTATTCATTAGATTAGCAAAACACTCTGGTGTATCTTCTGTAATTGCAGGTCGTATACCATCAATAATTTGATAAACAAGTGCGTAATCATGTCCAATATTATCAAAAGGTTTGCAACCTGTTGTAAGTTCCCACATAATCATACCCATACTATATACATCAGATTTTTTAGAAAATGTAGCAGTAGTTTTAAATATTTCCGGTGCAATATATGGTATTACTCCATATATTTCATTATTCAATAAAATATTTTCAGGATGTGATAATCCTAAATCTGCAATTTTCCATTGATATCTTAATTCTGAACTGTTTAAATCAAGTAGTATATTACCACTGTGAATATCTCTATGAATAAAATTTGATTTGTGGATACTTTCGAGACTGAAATAAAAAAGAATTATCAATTTAATATTTATTACAAATATAAATTATTACATTTAAATTATAAATACCCTTCTGAAATTTGCCATAAAATATACAATTTTTCTTTATTCCATGTTAGATCTGTAAAATTATTTTTTAAATAATTATGTAAATCTCCCCCTGATGCATATTTCATCACTAACATATAATCCTCTGAGTCAGGGACTTTTGTAAAGCCATAAGATCTAATGAGGTGATGTTTATATCTATAACAATAATAATTTGATTTCACCTATAAATTTTAAAAAAAGTTTTAATAAAATATTAAGTTAAAAATAATTTAAAAAACAGGATAAATTAATACCTCATACCTCATTTATAAAATGTTTACTGATAACAAATTTCTTAAATCTTTTTACAGCAACAGTTTCATTTTTATTTCTAGAATTGCCTAAATCATTTATTGGACCATTTTCCCAAGTTGCTCGATATATAATACTAAAGCCTCCACTTGTTATTTCTTTTAAATTTTTTATTTGAGAATATGGTATCCACTCCATCATTGGCTCTGGTTGAATATTCTTATATTTTTCACGAACCAATTCATAAATATCCAATGGGTTACCAATCTTTTTTACATGATCAGTAAGTTCAGCTAATTGTAAATTATTATAAAAGTTAGATCTTAGACCATATAGAAAATGGTCTAAATCATCATTTCCACTGCTGGTATATATATTTGAAATGTCAACAGTATTTGATAATATTCTTTTACATTTTTTACATTGAGATTGATCTGTAAAGCCGAAAATAATATTTGTAGTTAAGCAATATCTACATCCAATATAGATTATATAACATTGTACACAATATTTTTGACAAGGTGATTTATATACTAATCTTAATCCACAAGCTATACAACTGGTATTAGCATCCCACCATGGTAAATAAAGAATTGGGATAGATTCAATCCATCCAAAAGAAATTTGATAACAATCTGGACATACTTGTAAAGTATTTTGACTATCATTATAAACTATTTCATATCGGCTGATCAGAAAAGCCTCCCATAATTTTATATGCTAAATGACAATAAGTAACCCATCAGTTATATAATGAACCCATCAACTGAGCTTAAATATTAATTGGCTTGATTTTTCCAATCAGCCGATATGTTTCCACATAATTTACAATATTTTTCACAATCAGAAAGTTCACCGGTATGATAATGACCAAAACATATTTGCTTAAATAATGAAATTCTTGAACAATTTACACACCATTCCTGAATATTTTGTGTAAATAATTCTTTGTTCCTATGTTGATCACACTCAGAATTCATACGTATAGTTGCATCTAAGTATGAATCATTAGTATCATTAATATAGCGTGTTAAACATTTCTTGCAATATCTTTGGTGACCAATAAGAGTATGAGTGTATTTATCGTTACAATTAAAACAATTCTGATTACATCCGATGCAAGTAATAAATAGAATTGGTATAGGACTAGTTTTTAATTTTGGTGTAGGATCAAAAGAATTTGAATTTTCCTCATTTGCATTTATAAGTGCCATTTTATCACGTTAAGCTAAAAAAAAAAATGAAAAGATTATAAACTTTCAATATATTTATAAATTTTGGTTAAATACTTATATATACTGTATATGACATTAAAGTTTACATTGTCATAATTGTCATACGTTTTATTCAGGAGTATTGCAGCGACATCTATTAATCTTTTTTTTTTAAAGAGATTTCGCCATTAATCGTTATTGTCGATACCCTAAATTTATATGTTGTGAAGAGTTTCACCAAATTCCTCCCCTCTTGATAAGAACATTGACGTACAGATGTTGCACGAATAACCATCGAGCAATAGTTAATTAATAGTTCTTCGGCACTGCGGAGCCCGGATCAACCAATCAAATTTGATTTACCTAATATAACAAGCTACCTTTCTTATTCGGCTCGAAGTTCCGAATAAGTGTAACCATCAAACTTTTTTAAACTTTACTTGATACACAATTTAAGAATCTTCGAACATTCTAAAGCAAAAAATATGTTATAAAACAAATATTATTACTTTCAAAAATAAAACACTAATAAAACCCCTTTTCTGATCTGAAACTATGAGGGGTTATGAACGCACTGTATACTAAAAAACACGCCGCGAAAAATACACCTGAATATTTACTCTTATTTACTGTTAGTTTATTAGTAATAAATTATTTTTAAATTCTTTTTTTTTTTGTATTCATGAAGATATTAAGTGTTGGGGTAAAGTGTTGGGGTAAAGTGTCAGGATTTTGAATCTGTGGAAAATCATTATCCCGAAATTTATTATCTCTCGATATAATGCGTGTAATTATGCAATAAAATAATTTTGATATCATATATGTTTCTTTATAATGTGAATTAGTAAATTTAAGTTCGTTACTTTTATATCAGTAGTATATAAAAAAATTTTTACATTTGTTATTGTATTCAATTCCGTCCCGTAATACTTTGATTCAATCCGTAATACACGGCCTGCAATGCTTTAATATTTTGTTAATAAATAAATAATTCAAAAAATTATAATTTACTAAATTCGAGGAGTTATGAGCACGACGTGACAAAATAAATTCTGATTGGCTAATTCCGGATATATTTTTGAAAAATGATGTAGATATTATGATATTATGATATAAATTTAATTCAGTTCGAGAATTTATATGTGATCAATAAATAAATATTCAAAAATTTTTAGATCGATGATAGCGGTAAGAATTTCATGGTGCAAAATTTTGAATTAGTAATGAGCAAATTAATTTGTAATTAATCGACATATGTATAATGACGAATATGCGTTTTTATTTACGTGTTATAAATTGGCAAGATCATCAATCACATGACAATATCAAAATATCAGTATTAAATCAATCAAAATTTAATTAACCGGAAATGGATTAGCCATAAAAATCTTCATGGATTGGCCATCAGAACTGAGATGCGAGCAGCAAAAATATCATTCTTGATAGATATGCAGGAGAATCTTGATATGCATAATATATTTTACAGTAAAGTCTATCAAGAATAATACCTCATGTCTATCAAGAATGATACTTTTGCCTGAGAGCAGTTAATCCCGCACCCGTGGTGTAACCGGACTTTACTATTTTTAGTAACAGAAACCCGTCCCAACCCGTCCAAGGTGTGGCAAATAATGTGTGACAAATAGAGATCAGACTGCAAAAAAATTTCAAGTCGCTGAGATAAATATAAACAACGCGTTCCTCACGGTCACGTGACACGTGACAATAAACATCACCTCGGGTGCGGGATTATAGATCCAGAAAGGAGCCACCACTGGTGCGGCCGTGCGGGATTATAGATCCAGAAGAGCCACCACGGGTTCGGGATTATACATTTATTACGTAATATCCATTTATTATACCCACCCCCTTAAATATTACGTAATAAATGTCACTGCCGCAAATGTATCGTTCTTATACGATCAGGTGCTATGTTCTTATACGACGTATATGTCACATAATATAGGTCGTATAAGATAGTATGTCGTACACGTATAAGAACGATACATTTGCGTCACTGCCCTAACAAATATTAAATATTATTACGCGCGCGATTGCGATTAATTTTTTTGCATTATTAAGATTATTTATATTTAGCTTTCTGACATTATAACCCATATTGGTTCATATTGTTTAAATCTGGGAAAAACTCAAATAAATGATCATTTTTCTGGTTTTTATTCCAAAAACTAACAACCTTGTAAAAAACGTTGATCCGTATTTTATCGTTTCATGTTTTTTTTGTGAATGTATCATTTTCATGGGTATTTATGGCCTTAAATCATGGAAATTTTAATCTTGCTAACACGGATATCTGTGAATGTATCATATTTTCATGAAATTTTTACGGAAACCACGGAGAAATAATGGAAAATATTCTGATAAAAATTTTTTATAGGGCAATACTTTATAGGATTTATATATTCATATCTGAAATATGCTTAAATAATCGAAAATTTAACACTTTAAATTAATTTTTATTGAAAGAAGAGTATAATAATTATCATAATTTACAAATGATTATAATAATAGCAACAATATTTATTCATATACAGTCGACCCCCTCTATAGGCACACCCCTTGGGACCAAAAAAATATGATGTGATTATAAAAATACTAATACTATAAAAGAGGGTGTTTTTTTTAATAAATTTATTAGTAACTTGGGGCTAACGTAAATGTGCTTATAAAGGAGGGTGTGATTATATCTGAGTGTGCCTATAGAGGGGATCGACTGTATATTTGTTCTATGATAAATATCTAATCTAAATTCTATAAATTTATATTTTTAACAGCCATACAAGAGTCGTACAAGTCGGATTACGTAATTCTGAAATATTTATTGATTATAATTATTAAAAATATTATTAAGACAAATATAAAAATAAAAATATGTTTGTTTTATTTAAAACAGTGCATTACCAAAATGAGGAGCCGTTAAAGAATTGATCAACCAGCTGATTGTTTACACCCTGTTGACGTGGAAAATTTACGATTCGGTTCAATGTATCTTCCTGACTAGTATCAGATACATTTAATTGAATATTTCTTCGATGATATACTCCATTTGTGTTCCTTTGTCTGTAGCCATTTCGTCTTATTCTTCGCATCGGACCATAATTATTAATTACTACAGTTGGATTTGAAGAAGACATCGTGTATACTTTTTTTATTTTTATTTTTAAAAAAATGATACTTTGTGATATAAAAACAAAAAAAAAAAAAAAATTACAACTCGACGTATTTATATATCGTAAACAAAATTCAATTTTAATTTAAAAAATTGATCTGATTGTCCATGAATGCTGGGGTCTGTGTGAAGATACATAATCTGTGTGGCTGAAAGAACATTATTGTGTAAAGCATTTACTCCGAATATTTAATAATTAAGCAGGATACCTATTTAATAATCTAAACGATATGCCCTTTATATGTGATTTTCCTCCTAAAAGGAGTGCATACTTGACAAGGTTTGAACCAATTATTAAATGTTATCAGTCATCAAAAAAAAATTTTTTAATACATAGAATTAAGATTTTATGATTATCTTTAGGATTTTTTTTATTTACATCTGGGGCAATCAAAAGTGATCATAATTATATGTATATATATGGATAACTATAGAGTGAGCTGATTATAATATGTTCTACAAACTCCCTTACATTTCTATTTACTATTTATTTATTTTAACTCTTTATAATCATGACTTTACCCCTTGCATCATCCTGCTAGAACAGACCATATTTTTTACCTATTAATAGTATTTTAATTTTTTATAGCGCTGAGCACGTGATATGCGTTCATTGTAAGAAATTACATAATAAATGACCTATTGTTCTTGCAGATCGTGCGCGACAACAATATACGATATTATTCTATCCGAAATTGCTCCATTTGACTATAGATCTTTTACACAAAAATTTATAATACGAAAATCAATAAATAATTATAAACGGAATTGAGCATGATAGCAATCCATGTATGGTTTAATATATTAAAGTATAAATCTCCAAATAGAATCAATCAGCGAGACGCGATTCCTTGACACAATGGTATTAATAAAATGAAAGAAATAAAGAAAGAAGATTTCTTTCTGGTAAGTAAATAAAGAAACAGGGGTTTAAATAAACGTAACTTTATTAGATAAACAGTTCGTCATTCTGTTCATTATGTTTCCTTTCCCCTTGAGAAGGCGTACTTTCGTATGCGAAATTTACAGTCAACTCTTTTATATATGCACTCCCTATCATAGACATGCATTTGAAAAATATAATGCATCTACGAAGAGGATTAATTTGAAAATATAGAATATATTTTTAGCGATGCATCATTAGTGGGTGTTAATTGTATAATCAAAAATTAATTTAGCCAGCGAGATATCAAATAATTAATTATAAATGAATTTTTGGACATGATAATTAATCAAGGCTCAAGAATAAAAAAATATATATATATATTTTTTTTTTATATCGGATATAATTCGACAAAAAATTTTTGTGATTACGGCTAAATTTATTTTCATGCAAATTAAAATAATACAATTTGATACCCTTCTAGTGGTTCTCTTTTTTTAGGTACCGTATTCCAAATATGATAATTTATTCATTCTCCTGAACCTTACTAATAATTGCTGGAATAAACACAAAGAAATATCAACTGAAATTATTCCAAATGTGATAATTAATAGTAGTACAATATTTTATAAACATAAATTCATCAATCATATAACACAGAACTATATATTAATTTATTAATGAACAACTTATTTTAAATTATAGTAAAGTTATAACTATTAAAATTAAAGAATTGGCTTGAGTGTATTGATAAAATCATTGATGGAATGGAAGGAATGCTGATAACAATATAGTCATCATAATAAGATTACTAAGAAACTTTAAAAAATTGATTGTGTAAAATTACACGGATATTTTCGGAGCATATTAATTGTTCGAAAATAGAATGAAATTTTGTTCATCAGTACATGTGAACGATAAATAATTTCCGAATATATCATATTCAATTAAATAATCAAACTTAATTTTGGCGAATTGAATGATTATTAGATAATTTTGATTTATCGCCTATCTTGATTTTTTGCCTTATACCTTTTATGGTAGATGAATCAAATAAATCTGCACGTATTCAGGGATTATTTTCATGTTCTGGTTTATATAAGCCTTTTATTGACCTTATTGTACCGATTTTTTTTTTCTTAAGTTATGCCCATTTAAAGTACTTGCACATGAATTTTGGTACGCACAAAGAACTTTCTAATTATCCTTATTTGTGCTAATTTTTATTATAGGACCGTTTAAATACGGTTAAATTTTTTATTTCTTCAAATTTTATACACTGCATTCATTGTTATTAAGGAGAATGTCGATCCTTGTGATTACGAACTAGAACTTTTAGACCCTAATTGTTTTTTTTAAAGTTCGGTCATTCATGTCAGCAGACCGAGTAAAAGAAATAACCCAGATTCTACTCCAAATTCCGTCCAGAATTAAAAAAGAGTAAAAATGTAAATCATACTTGGAGACTCCTTAACTAGACGACATTTTTTGGTAAAAAAGGTGAAGCAAGTTATTCAGAATACCAAATTTTTTTTATAAATTTACAATATTTTGCAGTGTTCATTTTTTTTTATATATAAATAGAATAATAATAAAAAAAAGAAAAGAAAAATTCTAACTAAAAATTTTAAATATATATACAAACTATACAAACTAGAGGTGCAAACTTTACCGACGTAACTGCCGTAACGAAGTTACGTCAATAACGTCACTGTAAATGCTCACATAGAAGCTACGTCACGAGTTACAATCTTTCATTGAAACTTAATGAGTGACGTAGCTAAAAAAAGAAAAAGTCTGCACCCCTAATACAAACGAAAATAATAATAATTTTTTTATTTTATAGACTTGAATTACGATTAATTTTAATGTGTTTTCCTAATTAAGATGAAAAATCAATATATTAATAAAATTAATAAATAATAAACAAACATATACAAAATATAAATACTTACCACTATTATCATGATTTTCAACATCTGCTGATTCTTCAATTTTACGTTTTCTTGAAGTAATTATATTCGAAGTAATCGGCCTGTTAGTATGAATTGTAAACTCGGTGATGAGTAATTGATTGGCTTTGAATTGTAGGGCTTAAACTTGGAGCAAACGAACTGAATATTATAAATCACAAATACCTTGGAATATTATTAATGTCAAGCTCATAAGCTTTTGTAATGTATCCTAATAAAAAATTATATAAATCAATTTATTTATTAATAAATAATAACTCATCTACATAAAAAAAAAAAAAAGAAATCAACGTTTATTAATCGTTATTTGCCTATTGTACCTTGTAATGACCTACTTGTATATATAGCTTCTGAATGACGGTTTTCAATAAATTTAGGACCAAGTTTCTTTGATTTTATTAACTCTGTTCTTTTTAATTCAGCCTCATTAAATTGCCCAATATTTCTATTTCTAAAATACCAACTACCAAGAATTTCACGAACTTCTTTAATAGAAGGTCTTTTTTTAGGATCTGCGTCCCAACAACGTTTCATTAGATTAGCATAACACTCTGGTGTATCTTCTGTAATTGCAGGTCTTATACCATCAATAATTTGATAAATAAGTGCGTGATCATGTCCAATATTAGCAAAAGGTTTACAACCTGTTGTAAGTTCCCACATAATCATACCCATACTATAAACGTCGGATTCTTTAGAAAATGCAAAACCTTGAAATATTTCCGGCGCAATGTATGGTATTACTCCGTATATTTCATTATTCAATAAGATAGTATTTGCAGGCTGTGATAATCCTAAATCTCCAATTTTCCATCGATATCTTGCAGCCACTGACATATTTGAGTCAAATAATATGTTATTACTATGAATGTCTCGATGTATAAAGTTTGAATTGTGAATATTTTCAAGGCTAATATATAAATAAGTTAATAAGTTAGTACTCGTTGCAATCATTAATAATAATAATATATATATATATATTTAAAATATAGTAAATACCCTTCCGAAATTTGCCATAAAATATACAGTTTTTCTTTATTCCATGTAATATCTGTAAAATTATTTTTCAAATAAAAATCTAAGTCCCCTCCTGATGCATACTTCATTACCAACATATAAGTTTCGGATATAGGATCTTTTGTAAATCCATAATGCCTAATAAGATGATGTTTAAATTTATAGCAGTAACGGCTTGATTTTATCTATAAATTTAATAAAAAAAAAAAAAATAAATTTACAAAATCACGTGACTGTGACACAGACTGATAATTATATACCTCATTTAAAAAATGGTCACTGTCTTCAAATCCTTTTATAGCAACAATCTCATTTTCTTTTCTGGAAGAAATTCGATCTCTCATTGGACCATCCTCCCAAATTGCTCGATATACGGTACCAAATCCTCCTCTTGCTATTTCTACTTTATCTTTAATTTGAGAATACGGTATCCATTCCATCATCGGTTCGGGTTGAACAATAACATATTTATCACGTATCAACTTATAAATATCCAATAACTTGCCTTCCTTTTTTATCTGATCAATAATCTTATCTAACTCTAAATTGTTATAAAATTCAAATCTTAGATCATATAAAAAACGGTCTAATTCACTATTTCCGCTGCTAGTGCATGTGAAATCAATGGTGTTAAATAATATCCTATCGCATTTTTTACATGTAGACTGATCTGTAAAACCAAAAATAATGTTGGTAGTTAAACAATATCTACATCCAATGTAATTTACATAGCAATGCCCGCAATACTTTTGACTTTGTGATGACGTGGATTTTAGTTTTAAATCACAAGCTATGCAATTAGGGTGATCATCCCACCATGATAAATAAAGAATTGGAATGGGTCTTTTAATCAGAGTTGATTCTATCCATCCAGAGGAAATTAAATAGCAATTTGAACACATTTCTAATTTATTTTGGTTATTGTTATGAATGTATTTATTACATAAAGTGCACCATTTTTCACATTCGGAAAACTTGCCGGTACAATAATCGCCAAAGCATATTTGTTTGAACAATGAAATCTCCGAACAATATTTGCACCATTCTTGAATATTTGATACAAGTGATTCCTTATTCCCGTTTTCGCTACATTCTGAGTTCATGCGTATAATTACATCCAAGTATGAAGTATTAAATGGCTTATCAGCTATATCGTCGATGTAACGTGATAAACATTTTTTGCAATATTTTTGGGCGCCAACGAGAGTTTGAACGTATTTATCTCCACAATGAAAACAATTTTGATCATTCCAATTATTAGTAATAAACAAAATTGGTATAGGAGTAGGATTTAAATTAGGTGTTGGATCATTACTAATATTCTCCATTATGTTGAGTTAAAAAAAAAAAACTTACGGATTTTTGACGTTATTTATAATTTACGGTTAAAAGCAGTTGTTTATAATTTATGGCGTTATTGTCTTATGCCGTGATAATACCTTATGACGTTATACCACTTTTATGGCGTTAACAATCTTTAAAAGATTTAGATGAGATGGCGTTTTGTTGATAAGACAATACTCACAATAGAATTCTAAAATAACATTCCAACTAGGTTGCTAGAATTTTGCACATGTTCCAGAAATTGCTGCCTGGAAGTACTTTATCGAAAGATAATATCGCCATCTAAATATTGTAATGATAATTTGTATTAACATAATAAAAAGATTCTGGTTTATTTTTTAATCGGTCGTTTATTCTACTTTGTTGGTTGATTTGATAGTTTAGTTGAAAGAAGCTCAAGTTAAAGAATTTGGCTCTTATTAGACAGTAATCATAATTACTAACTCCTACGTTTATACTAAAACAATATCAATTTTATAATTTATAAATTTCGTAAATTAAAAAAAAAAAAGAAACAAAGAAAATTCATCAATAATTTTGTAATTAAATATTTGCTTAAAATGGTTTATTAATGAAATCGTGATACATAAAAATCGATTGATTTTCAGGAATGGGGAATGGGGGTACTTTCAGGGATAGACAAATATGGTTAGTACCGCTGCATTAATTCATTCATAGGTACGACAATAACAATCCCATTGATTTATACACAAATTTGGTTAATCAGATTTTAACTAAAAATAAATTTTTATTTTCAAAATGAAATTTACAATTAGGTAGATATTTTCAAAGAGATTTTAAATATTTCATAATCCTCAATGAAAAATAAATTTTTACATTGAATTCTTTTTTCATAATATTTATGATTATAAATTCCATTTGGTAAAAATTGTAAATCTCCAAACCCAATCGCATTAACAAAATTTTTAATCGCAAAATTTTGATATTTAATTCTACTCAATATATAAGAATCAGAATCTAATTTAGAATTATCAAAAGAAAATATAAAAGAATTATTAACAGGTATCCAATCATAATCCGATGAATTCCAAGATTTTGGATTATATCCTCCGACCACAATATCCGACCCTTCTAATTTTATTACAATCAATGTTGAAGTCTTAAAATAACACATGTTACAAAATGTGTGTAAATTCATTCCATCCAAACCACCACGATGTATAAGTTCCAAATTATAATTATTTAGAATATTACGTTCAATTTTATCATCATTATTATATATCCAGTTCAATATAATATTTGTTTGTTTTAAACTAATTATATCGGAATTTAAATTTTTTGACGTCCTTCTTGATAATGAATCAACTATTAACGTATCATCCTTTGTACAAAGATGATATTCGACCAATTTAACTATTAAATCATTCGAAAATAATTTTCTTAATGGCCAAATCACATTATAAAATTCATCGCTGGTAAGTGTAAATAATCTGATATGCTTTAATAATTCATGTAATCTATATTGTAACTCCTCATAATCTTCCTGTGTTAATTCTGATATTTTTGAATTAATTTGAGGCCTTTGCTTCATTCCCCATTTAATCACATAATTAAAAATTTCAATTTCTTTATACGCAAGTTCTTTCTTTATAACGATATTTAATAAAGTTTCGTCTATTAAATGAAAATCATTCGATTCAAACATTAATTCAGGACTTTTGCAAATTAATTCTTCACAATATTCTTGAATGACTCCAAACCCCTCGTATTTGATGGAAGCATTATAAATCTTTACATAGTTTTGTTGTACCAATTTAACTTTGTTACGAATAATATATTTCTTAATAGGCTCAAGTAATTCAACAAGGCATAACTCATCGGCGGCATCGAGGAAGTCAATCATGTAAATTTGATTGTTTGCATCTTCGAGAGAATACTTCCCAGTATAATAATACCTAATGGTAACGATAATGTTCGATTAATGTTCCATATATACAATTATTTATAAAAAATATATATATATATTTTTCACTTACTCTAAAAGTATACTGAAGACTTGTGGCTTAATATTTGGTTTCTTAAAAACAATAACATTATTCTCTTTTTTGGTCCATTCATTGTAAAATGCCGCTTGAAAATATTTCGATCTCGTTCCTAAAACAATTGAATGAGCAGTGAATGTTTCTACGTTATCATCTTCTCCAACAATTATTTTAACGTCATGACTATTTGGATTATTACGAAGTCGAGAAATATCCTCTAAAAATTTGTTTCTTAAATTATTTGACATTACCCTTTTCAAAGAAATAAATTTATAATTTAAAAAAAAAAAAAAATTAGAATACTTTGAATCACAAGTCGGAGTTACCTTCCTGGACTGTATCATTTATTTGCATATAAATATGCGGGTAAAATTAGTCACACGAGAAGGATCAAGAAGGTAAATTTTTGTTTCTCCGAAACCTCAATTTTTAAACAGGTTCTAATTCTTGTTTTGTGTTCACCTACAACCATATGGATTATTACGCCAAAATAAACAAATACTAGTTTTACTAAAAATATATCTGTTCATGTGATCTCCTTTTTTCTGGGGTGGTCCGTAAGTCCGTTCCTACTTCCTAAAAATTTTATATTGTTTCTTATATGAATATATTTCATGCTAGTTTTTTTTTCAGTGTGCATGAATGATTATTAATTATGTAATTATTTGTATTAAACTAAATTAAGAAACTACTCTTTAACTCTTTATGGTATAAAGAATTTTGATTTCAAGAATCACGTGCAATTACTTGGATTCTAGTCGGTACTCGGTATGCTCTCGAAGCAATTCTTTTCCATATTAAGTTTCAGTTCTCGGGCGGGGATCGGTAAATTTCGTGACTTTGTGCTATTTCAGTTAGCTCTTTTGATTGGCCAATTTAAATTGATGGTATGACAAAAAAAAAAATAATTTATAAGCAAAACTCTCAGATTTTCATCTTTCTACCTTCGTTACCTTAGTTATGACCCCTCAATTAAATTTTGATTGTCTGACTCGAATATTTAAGTTTATAATTGAAGAAGATGATGATTCATCATTATTATATTCTCCTTCTCTGGTGAATAAACTTTGGTGTCAAGCTGCTATTCCATTTTTATGGAGTAATCCATGGAAGTTTAACAGTAATAGGAATAATTTACAATGGAAACGTAACATACTTATTAAAACTTATCTTTCATGTTTATATCAAGAATCAAGAGAAATTTTAATTAATAAAGATTTTTTTAAAGAATTATTCTTAATTTTAAGTGACCATTCATCATCTCAAGAAACGATAAAAACTAACAAGAATGGTAAAACTTTACTTATTAATAATATCCAAAATCGTCCGACGTTTGTTTATCCTGAATTCTTACGTCATTTGAAGTTGAATTCTTTGGTCTATGCCGTCAAATTTTGGTCTAAATCCAATCTTTCAGAATCTAATATTCAAACAGTTTATAAAAATACTCTCATAGAGATGATAAATTATCTTTTCAACAAATCAACCTGTTTATTCACGTTAGATATTAGATATTGTGATGGTGAGAATTTCCAAAGTTTACAAATTCTTGCAAATTTTTTGGAAACTTCTAATGGAAACATTAAAAGTCTTTTGGGACTTAAAACTTTTGAATATAATCCTGGAACAATACCAGAATTAGATCGAATTTTTAAATCACTCTCAATAACAAGTCATAAAATTAAAAGAATACCTATTTATCCTGATATTGTGATTGATAATTTAACGAATCTTATCAAAGTTCAAAAAAATATATCAGAAGTTATAGTAACGAATGGTTCTTACGATCCTTACGATTGGGAAGAAAGTGATGTTATAAGTATAATTATTGAAAGAGCAAATTCAATCACTCATTTAACATTAGAAGATATTTATTTTCCACTTTCTTTTCTTTCATTATTTGTAAATTTGAAAGAATTATTTTTAAAATCAATTCATTTTAATGAACATTGGAATCCATTATCTGAAATTTTTTTACCAAATTTACAAATGTTTCATTTTGAACCAAAAAATTCTGATATGAAATTAATTTCTAAATTTATATATAATAATCCTTATGAATTATTACAAATAAAAATAAAATGTGAAAAGATTGAAAATTCTTTTTTAACAAAAGATTTATTTATAACGATGACAAATTATTGTCAAAATCTTACAATTTATGAAGGTCCAATTATTTCAAATGCAACGAAAGAATTAAAAGAATTTTTAATATCTTGTAAAAATTTATTAATCTTACATTTATATTCAATCAATAATAATTTAAATTATGAAAATTTTGACAATTTATTAAATGAAATTTCACAGATAATTCCAACAAAGTTAAATACTTTAATAATTAGTGGAAGGTGGACAATTACTTCAAATTCTTTAGAAAATTTTTTAAAAAGTAGAGAATCTTTATCTTCAAAAAAGATCAATTTTTATTGGGGTTCTCTGGTAAATTATGAAGGAAAATTTAGAAACATCTGTAGTAAATATCGAAAGAAAGGAATTGTTGATAAGTACGGAGATTTTTAATTATAATCATTACACTTCATCTTCTTAAGCAATAAAAAAAAAAAAAATTCTTATTATAACATTTGATACAACATTTGATATTTGATTACATTCATATAATTATAATTTTTTTCTTCGCTGAAAAAAATTTCTAGCCGAATTGGTTGAATTGGGCGGCACTACAAACTTCTCATACAGGACGAGCATCAGTGGCATTTCAAGAATATCCACGCTTCGCTCATCCTTAAAGCGATATTAAGTGTTACAAATTCTTGAGGAATATCTATAGGAATATTTCGTAGTTACGAAGATTCTTTTCATTAGATTAAAAGAATTTCAAATTAGCTTATAAGAATTTCTCAATAACGTATGATCCTATTGATATGGGTAAGATAGAAAATGAATTAGTATTATTATTATTCAAAACCTCAGATTTAAATACAAAATAATTCTCGTGGATTTAATTCTACTGAATTTATTTCGAGGCAAAAAGCCTAAAAAAAGTCTTATAATCAATAAATATAGGTTACGAAAAAATTGATAATTTATATAAATAAATGATTTTTTTTTTGTTCCTAACATTTTCTGTTACGCCATGTTCTGCTAAAAGTTTCTTTCCATCCGCACCAGTGACTTATTGACCATTTTGCTAATAACTTCTAATCTACCATATAAGATAGTATCGATAGTCTTAGCTTATTAATTATGGACAAAGAAATTCTAAAAATGTTAATACTATAAGAAAGGTAATTCACCTAATATGTGAGAAGGACTATAGATCTGGGGCAAGATTATGATCAGTGGAGAGTCATCAAGAAGTATAATATGAAGATTTCTAAATTTGTATAAAAAGATTCCAAATTCAAAGTTATTAAAATACACTAAATACTTCATAATCCTCTATAATAAATGAATTTGTGTCAATTATCTTTTTTTTGTAATAACGATGATTATAATTTCCGTCAGGGAAAAATTGCAAATCTCCAAATCCAATTTTCCAGTCGAAAACAATTGCACGACTAACGTTTTTAACTCGACTTAAAATGTACGAATCCATTTCAAGTTTATCGAAAGAAAATATGAAGGAATTACTAGTATATAACCAATTTAACCACACATCATCGTCAAAATCATCATCACCATAAACAAAGCCATCATAACCACCATCATCACCATCGTCACCATCATCACCATCATCACCATCATCACCATCGTCACCATCGTCACCATCGTTATCATCGTTATCATCATCGTCATCGTCTTCATTGTCATCATCGTCACCATTATTGTAAACAAAATCAATGTTGGAATCGATATCAGTTAAATCAACGTCGAGATAATAATCATCATCATAATAGCTCCAATGCCTTGGATTATACCCGCCAATTATTTTATCTGATCCTCGTAGTTTGATTACAACAAGGGTATTACTTTGTTCACAACATATGGACTCAAAATGATTCATATCCATTCCATCACGGCTACCACGAAGTAAAAGTTCATAATTGTAAGTAGTACCTAATTTATGTGCAAATTTATTATCGTTCCTATCGATCCAATTTGCGATAATGTTTGCTTGTCTATAATTAATTATATTAGAATCATTTAACATTTTTGGTATTCTTTTTGATAATGAACCTGTTGGTGGAGGTATCCTCGAAGGAAGATTATAATTAACTAATTTATTTAATATATTATCCGGTAAGAGATCTTTTAATGGCCAAATCTTATTCCAAAAATCATCACTAGACATTGTAAAAAATCTAATGTGTTCTAATATTCCATGCAATCTATTTTTTAGTTCCTCATAATCATCTTGTGTTAAATCTGATATTTTTGAATTAATTTGAGGTTTTTGCTCCATTCCCCATTTGATAACGTAATTCCAAATTTCAATTTCTCCAAGCGCAAGCTCATCTTTCTTTATAATCGAAATCAGTAAGGATTTATCAATCAAATTAAAATTATGTGATTCAAAAATTAATTCGACATTTTTACTAATCAATTCGTCACAATATTTTCGAATAAATTCTAACCCTACATTTTTGAAAGCTAAGTTATAAACCTGCATAAAATTATTTTGTATCCAACTAACTTTACTATAGATAATATTCTCTTGAATATGTTCAACTAATTCAAATATTCCTAATTCATCGGCAGCAATAAGGAGATCAATAATATATTTTTCGTTGTTTTCTTCATCAAGTGAATAATCTCCAGTATAAAAATACCTACAAAAAAAAAATATATATATATATATATTATATATATTGAATTTATTATAAATTAAAAAAGAAAATATTTTTTTCGTAAAACTTACTTTAATATAATTTTAAAAGCATGTGGGTTAATATTTGGAATGATAACATTTTTAGTCCATTTCTTTAATATTGTACTAAAATAATTTGACCTCACTCTTAAAATAACCGAATGAGCATTAAATTTCTCAATATTATTACCTTTTCCTACAATTATTTTAACGTCATAATTATTCGAATTATTGAAGAGTTTTGAAATATCTTGTATTAATAGTTTAGAATTGTCTATTGACATAATAATAATGATTTTTTAGGGAAAGACCCCCAGACCATGAAATTTATACCAATGATTGAAGTAACCCCCGAAAAATATAAGATCGGCAAGATTATAAACATCTTTTTCAGGCCGGAATTACGATCATTTCGAAAAAACCGGCACTATTTAATAAAGGAAAGATTTACATAAATATTTTGACGCAAAGCTCAAATGTGACTTTTTTTGTGTGTTTTTTCAGGGTCTTATTGTTAGCCTTTTTTTAGAAGTTCATTTACGTAATCTTAACTTCGCTTCCCCAACATTTATAAAATTAGTCTTTATTGATGCACTTTTTGTGATGGTGCATTCCGCCCAATAAAATTAACAGTAAAATAATTAGTCCGAAGTGTAACGAAGGACTATATAAGGGGATACAAATAATCCGGATGTCCGTCCGGCACGTGTCGTTGTATAACAATAAAACCTTAACCGCTTCTTAGTTTGTATTACAGAGTTATTACGCGACATAATTAAAAATGTATTATGCATTCGTTGACATTAATTTAGACTTGGCTTTCGGTACACTTTTTCCTCTGATTTTGAATCTATAATTGAAGTACTTTTTATTTGAAGATTCGGCCCATAAACAATTCAGTTTACGTATCAATACCAAAAAAAACGTGATACAATTGTAGTGAATGAAATCAATGAATAGATATACTCGGACAAATTATGTAAAATAAGTTGCGTTTTTTATATGATTTAAAAATTATGCATTAACATATAGTTGTGACAGACTTTTGAACCTTATGTAGTTACGTCATTTTTTTCAACGTCCCGTCAGTAGCGTCACATTGTCGTATGACGCCATAAATGACTTTTGCCATATGGATTTTTTTAGACTTTTAGACTTTACATAAACTTTTGACGTAATTACTTTTAAATTTTTTAGGCTTTATATAATAAACTTTTGGTGTAACTACTTTTAAACTTAATATACTTAATATAATAAATATAATAATATAAACTTTTTATTTTTTATTTTTTTTTTATTTGAAAACTGCTTTTAAGTTTCGAAATTCAACATATCGCCATATTCTACTACTACAGTATAATTTACAAATCCAATCTTTCAGGATGGAGAAAATGGATTGCGTGAAGAAACTAAATATACCTAATACTAATAAAGAAATCAATAAAAATATGGAATTTAATCCTATTGACATAGTTGATGATGTTTTGAATACTAGATTAGGATTAGAGTAAATTGTTTATATGCTATCATTATGATTTTATATCCTTCGTTTATATACTAGTAATAGTAAAATTGCATATAGAAAAATGTTAAATAATGCTGTTAATTAAAAGAAGCAGTAATTGTTATTATTTTAATTATATATAAATAATAAAAAATATGTTAATTTATTTAATATTTTTATTTGTTTTAATTATTTAATTATTTTTTTAATTACGTCATACGTCAACTGTATGAAGTTACGTCCATGATGTTACGTCACTTGAGACCATCAAAAGTTTGCACCACTAAATATGCTATCGTATGACTATCGGGATTTTGTTTCAACCGGGATTTGGGTTTATAAGGATCTTGGTTCAGGATTGTAGACTGTCAATATTATGGCAGTGTTGGCACATTGGCCATTTGGCCGGGGTTGGCCGTTGGCCGTTTGGCGGTTTGGCCGTGGCCAAAATGGCCAAAAAAGTTTTGGCCGCGGCCAAATGCCAACAAGGTACTAATACCTATCTAGTTATTTCTTTGGCCGTTTAGCATTTGGCCGGGGTTGGCCGTTTGGCCGTAGCCAAAATGGCCAAAAAAATCTTGGCCGCGGCCAAATGCCAACACTGATTATGGGTTGTCGGTAAACCTACGTGATATATATTTTCAAACACGATGAAAATTTCTTATCAAGGGATTACAGCAGCTGAAATCATTTTAGACGAATGAATAAATTATATTATTAAAAAGTATTAAAGTACCAACTACTGAATAATTAACGTTAAGGAAATTGATACCTGTTTCATATTTTTCATTAATATAATATCGATTGTTACGTTGATAATAAAAAAAATTTACAAATTTGTATTTATTGTAAGAAAATTATAATAAATTTAATGAATTTGATTCGTTACTTAATTATTAAGCATAAATATTATGATTGGGAAATATTACTATTATTATAAAGACATTAATGAAGTCTAAATTTGAATGTTATCCAATCAGCTAAATGAATTTACAACGTTAGTATAATTTTTTGTAATAGAATTCACTCCATAAGACATTTATATAGTATTCTGCTCTAAATACATTAGGGCTTCTATTTAAACGTTGGCAATAGCCAATCATTTCTAATATTTTTATTACAAAATAATAAATATTTCCAATGGCAACCCTTATAAATATTATTGGTTACATGTCCTAAATTTTTCGGAATAAAGCTAGAAAAATTATCATTTATCGGAGACTCGGAGTTTGTCCCAGAAAATTTTTATAGGGTAAATGATCGCATTACATTTATTTCTGCGCCATAAATATGAATATTTATCTGATGTACTGTACTACTATTTTTCTACAGTATCTTGCATGATAGGATGAAGTTGCAAATCAATTAAATTAATTAAATTAAAATAAATTATTGTTTATTGTCTATCATTTGTTATCTTCACAAATCGGAGAATTCTCCGAAAGTCTAAATTTGTGCATATATAAGTTTTAAAAGAATTTTATATTATATTTTGAATTTTATATTATATTTTGATTTTTTTTCAAAAATGGCTACGCAATTTTTACCTCACTTGTCGCAAGACTTTACAAAGCTTTTAGAAAGTAAAAAAAAACATGATGTTATAATTAAAGTTGATAAAAGTAATAATGAGAAAACATTTTGCGCGCATTCAATTATTCTTGAAACGAGATCCGTTTATTTTGAAAACGTCTTTTCTAATAAACAATTTAGAAAAGAAAATAATATTTTTATTTTAGAATTTCCTGATCTTTCCTCTGATATATTCGATATTTTAATCAGGTAATACACGAAATAATTCAATCATACATATTAATTAAATTATTTATACACAATTAGTAATAAATATCTTTTTGATTAGATATATCTACGGCGGTATTATTAATCTTGATAATAAGAAAGCTTCTGATATTTTGAACCTTTTAACAGCTTGTGGAAGATTCAAGCTTAAAGAATTATATGATTACGTTCAACAAGATCTAATTGAACACCATCCCGATTGGCTCTTTCAAAATCTTTTTTTAGTTCAAAAAATCAGTTTTAAAAATTCTGATTTCACCAAATTACAAAATTATTGGACAACAACTATTTGCGAGCAACCTGAAATTCTATTCAATGCTACCGATTTTACATCTGTAGATAAAGAGGCATTATTGTCGATTTGTAAAGAAGAAAATTCGTGCATGGAAGAAAATGAATTGTGGGATCATATCATTCGTTGGGGTAAAGCTCAAAACACTGAATTATCAGAAGAAATTAATAACTGGACACCAAGTGACTTTAATGCTTTAAAGAAATCTTTAGAAGATTTTATACCTTATATTAGATTTTATGATTTCTCATCTGATGATTTTTGTTTCAAAATAACGCCTTATAGCGGAATTTTTCCCAATGATTTGTATCAGGATCTTTTAAAATATAATTTAGTATCGGATTGGCAACCAAAATTCAATAATCTTATATCAAGAAAAGCAATTTTAAATATTCCTAATATAACTATTGATTCTAAATTAATCAATGGTGAACAGGCGGCATTGATTTCCTCATGGATTCAAGGAAATAATGAAAGCGAAATATCAAATAAATTTAGAAAAATCTATTATGAATTTAAATTACTTACACGTGGAAGTCGAGATGGATTTACAGGATCAATATTTCATAAAATGTGCGATAACAAAGGTCCCACAATTACAGTTATAAAATTAAAAGATGAAACGTCAATTCTTGGAGGTTACAATCCAATTAATTGGGATATTAATAAAGGTGAAAAATATGAAAAAATTACAGATAGTTTTATCTTCAATGTTGATAATAAAGAAATAATTTTATCTAGAATTCAAAATTATGACAATGCAATAAATCAATATGGTGGTGGTCCAAATTTTAATGATTTACAATTAACTTGGACTTTTAATGTAGATAATGGTGCTACATATAACAAAAAAGCATATAATAAAAAAATACATAATGAAGGAAGTTTTATCGTTAGTGAGTATGAAGTTTTTGGTATAACAAGAAAACGGCAGTAAATCTCGTTTATATTATCAATAATATTAATATTTATTAAATAATAATTATTTCATGGATTCATAATAATACAGCATATACAAAATAATATTCTTAATAAATAATGAAAATTATTTTCATACTTAACATTTTAGCCAACAAATTATAGCAAGAAATCTTAAATTTTTTTTCGCCAACACTTGTATTTCAATATTATATTACCACTTTCATTAGTAAAATTCATGTTATAAAAATTCATCATCATCATCCAGGTAACACTTTCACTACTTCACAACTATACATGGGGGCGAATTAGGTTCAAGTCATGCCAACTCAGTGTTGGCCAGTGACCCAAATGACCTCAAATGACTCAAATAACTGGTCACGTGTCATTTGGGTCATTTCAACATTAAAATGACAAATGACCTAGTCATTTAAAAATTACATCATAATTCTGGCCAGAACTATTCGTACAATTTCACTATTTCATGGATAAAATTTTCACATGATATTATAAGTTCATAATTCTGGCCGGCATCATTAACTTGGCCTGAATTATAAAGCATTAATTTTAAATGACTCAAATGACAAATGACCCAAATGACTAGGCCATTCGAAGGTCATTCAGGGGGTCATCTCAAAATGGGCAAATGACCTAGTCATTTGCCATCACTGTGCCAACTAGCCCAGTCGCACTGGCAATTTTGCACAGTCACGTGATCGATTTTTAATTTAGGGATATCCATAAATTTTTGCTAGAATTTGGTAAAATATGTTGCTTATTTT